CCCCCGCGTCCCCCGCGTAATCTACGCCCCTGTGTGTGTGTGTGTTAGTGAGTGTGAGTATGTGAGTGTGTCTGTGTGTGTGTGTGTGTGTGAGTGTATGTGATGTGTGTGTGCGTGTGTGAGTGTGAGTGTGTCTGTGTGTGTGTGATTGTGTCTGTGAGTGTGTCTCTGTGTGTGTGTGTGTGTGTGTGTGTGTGTGTGTGTGTGTGTGTGTGAGTGTGAGTGTGAGTGTGTGTGAGTGTGAGTGCGAGTGTGTGTGTGTGTGTGGGTGTGTGTGAGTGTGTCTGTGTGTGAGTGTGAGTGTGAGTGCGTGTATTTGTGTGTGTGTGAGTGTGTCTGTGTGTGTTAGTGAAAGAAGTTTTTTAGGACTGTCCTAACTCTTGTCTTGTAAGCATTGAAAGTGGTCTGTGATTTATACAAGCTCCAAAAAAAGTACCATAAAAGTCATCCATATGACTAAAATCCCACTTTTGTCAGATTTTCAGTGAACAATTTTCATTCTGTTCATCATAGGGCTATCAAATTGTGATCTGTTGGTTCAACTGGCCACGACAGCTGTTACAGTCATTTCTGGTTCCCTTGAAGTTTATAAAAAAAAATCTAAGGTTTATAAGTAAAAATCTAAAACATAACCATTATGGAACGTTTTGTAAAAGTCACTTTACAGTTGTGAATATAAAACCTGAAAATAACCCGTAGTGAATGTGGGGTGGAAGGTGCTGAGAGTCGTTAAAGAGCGGTTTGAGTCGGGATCTGTTTGCAAGTGTGAGTCTGAATGTGTTAAATCAGGTGAGAAATCACATTCACATTGAATCGCTTCACAGGGCGAGTCTGGACATAAATGCTTTACATTTGCATTTCACCCAATGTGTGAGACTTAATTAAATGTGTTGAGGAAAAGATGATAAATGTCTTATTATTTTGTCTTCTATAACAAGCAAAAACAAACATGCAGCACGATCAGTGTAGTCTGATTCACTTCTGATCTGTTTGAATCATTGTAACAAATCTTTAGCTGATTCATCAGAACATCTGATTCACTTGAGTGAAACATGTCAGCCTGTTGCAACACTTTTTATAATAAATGATATTGTAGTTTTAATCAACATTAAACCACATTGATACACCTAGAATATTAAACTGTGACTCTTTAAAACATTGAAAATATTACTAGTTACTGTGCTTTTTTTCTATGCGTTTGTTTTGCGCAATATTTGTTTGCCAGAATGTTCTGAGAAAGATTTTGGTTCCCACAATACATTTTTAAGTTTTATATTAAGAGTGTAACATTTATAAATAAAAGTTATTTTATAATTGTACATTTAAAATGTAAAAATAACATTTAAGAAACATTCCGTTTTTTATTGTTGTAAATATAAAATCTAACCATTAAAGAACGTTCTATAAATGTTGTTTAATCGTTGTGAATATAAAACCTATTCTGAGAATTGTTATAATAATAACTGTTCAGAGAATGTTAGATTTTGGTTCACAGAACATACTTTTTTTACGATGTTACTCACTGAGCATTGTGAGTAACACAAACAACAACTCGACACTTCAAAACATATTGGTGCTGTCAAGCTCGTCGTCATCTTCAGCCAAGTGCTTTGTTTGTGTGTGTATGTGTCTGTGAGTGAGTGTGTGTGTGTGTGTATGTGTGTGTCTGTGTGTATGTGTGTGTGTGTGTGTGTGTGTCTGTGTGTATGTGTGTGTGTGTGTGTGTGTGTGCGTGTTCATGTGTGTCTGTGTCGTGTGTGTGTTCGTGTGTGTGTGTGTGTGTGTGTGGGTGTTTGTGTGTGTCTGGGGCGTGTGTGAGTGTGTGTTCGTGTGTGTGTGTGTGTGTGTGTGGGTGTTTGTGTGTGTCTGGGGCGTGTGTGAGTGTGTGTTCGTGTGTGTGTGTGTGTGTGTGTGGGTGTTTGTGTGTGTCTGGGGCGTGTGTGAGTGTGTGTTCGTGTGTGTGTGTGTGTGTGTGTGGGTGTTTGTGTGTGTCTGGGGCGTGTGTGAGTGTGTGTTCGTGTGTGTGTGTGTGTGTGTGTGGGTGTTTGTGTGTGTCTGGGGCGTGTGTGAGTGTGTGTTCGTGTGTGTGTGTGTGTGTGTGTGTGTGAGTGTTCATGTGTGTGTGTTTCAGCTGCATACAGGCCCTGTGCTGATGACGAGCTGCTGATGGCGATCTGCACCAGTGACTTCGGTAAGATCCACCTGCTTCTTACTGTTTTAAACTCTTATTTACCCTATTATTAAACTCCTGTGAAGTCAGAATGTATTTCCAGAAAATAAGTCACACCTGACTATGTCACACAGTCTCATTGTTGAGGGAAAAAAAGTTGCAAAATAAGTTGCATAAGTGGTAAAGTCACATTTTATTACTACATTCATAAATAATGTAAAATACAGGTTAATAACATTACTATAGACAGGTATTTTATGTTTTGTGTGCTTGACATTAATTGCATTACATAAGTTGCTTTGGAGAATAAGTCGTCGCATGTTTCAAAGTAAAGATCATGTTCCATGAAGATATTTTGCAAATGTCCTACTGTAAATATATCAAAACTTAATTTCTGATTAGTAATATGCATTGCTAAGGACTTCATTTTGACAACTCTAAAGATGATTTTCTCAATATTTAGATTTTTTTGCACCCTCAGATTCCAGATTTTCAAACAATTGCATCTCGGCCAAATATTGTCCTGTCCTAACAATGGAAAGCTTATTTATTCAGCTTTCAGATGGTGTATGAATCTCAATTTCGAAAAATGTACACTTATGACTGGTTTTGTGGTCCATGGTCATATTTCAGATGTTAAAGATTGTGACTTTTATTCTGTAAGTCGTGGTAAATCTCTGTCACTGCTGCTGCTCTTTCTCTCAGTGGTGCGCGGCAGTATTCATCACGTGGAGGAGGATGATGAAGATCAGATGTCAGTGGTGTTGTCTCTGAGTCACGTGTACCGTCAGAAGAGCCGTGTGTTTGTGTCCGGAGGCGGGGGGCGCGGGTGCACCCGGTGGACGGGTCGTGTGAAGATACTGCGGTGCTGCGGCCCGCGAGCAGCACAGGGCGAGCTCCTCTTTACGGGCGCGGTGCGGTTCCAGGAAGCATGGCTGCGATGTGCTGCTCTCTATAAAGACTTCATCAGACTGTACCGAGCGGCTCTGGATGCAGGAACAAACCCCTGCCACATAGACACAGACTGAGAGACGCACAGACAGACCTCTGCTGGCGTTGCAGGACTCTGGCTGAATCTCATCAAAACATGCATGCTTTTTTTGTTCATGCCTCGGTCCGGTTCACATTTTATCCCAAAATCCAAAGAAATAAATAAGAAACTATATTTAGGATGCTTGTAAATGAAATTAGGATTATTTTAGAACCAGTTTACATGATTTTAATAATAATTAAACACATTGCCCCTCCAAATTTATCATCACTGTATTTCATCCAGAGGCTTTTTTAAATTTATTTATTTATTCCATTTTTATTTTAATTTATAATTCATACTTTTCAGCTGGGGTTTCTTTAGATTTATTACTGCCAAATGTTTCAATTTTGCAGTAATACTGTTCTTTAATCAGCATAAATTAAATTTAAATTCAATACTGTATATTCTGCCATTATGTATGAATATTTCACTTATTTCAATATTTAATTTACTTTATCTTTGTTGATATAATAATAATAATTATTATTATTATAAATTATATTATTATTACAATTATTATTAAGCTTGATTTGTGAATAATAATTAAACATATTTAAACAAAACTTAATAATGTATGTTCTGTGACCCAAAACACTGTCATAATGTTAGAATTATAATAATAAAGTTAGGGGGGGAAAAACAATAACAGTGCATTTAAATAGTGAAATAGTTGTATATAATGGCTCTATTTGTCGTGCTGAATTTAAATAATATTTTTTTCATATTACTGTAATAAAAAATTGTCCTGAGAATAATGGCACAATTTATTTTTTGATTTATTCCCAAAATATTTCTTGATTTGTGTTGATTTTGGGGTGAAATGAGGCCTGGGTGTGTTTTGGCAGTTTTTCAGTGGGTCCAGATGGATGGATCTCTGTCATCAATCCTCCCTTAAGTTGCGGTTCTTGGTTACACACAGAAGTTGTGTTTGTTTGTTTCTGTCTGTTCTTGTTGCCTGATTTCATACGTCTGAAAGTGTGAGAGAAAAGAGAAAGTGTGTCGTAATGTGTGTGTATGTATGTGTGTGTGTGTGTGTGTGTGTGTGTGAGTGAGTGAGTGAGTGAGAGTGTGTGTGTGTGTGTGTGAGAGTGAGTGAGTGAGAGTGTGTGTGTGTGTGTGTGAGAGTGAGTGAGTGAGAGTGTGTGTGTGTGTGTGTGAGAGTGAGTGAGTGAGAGTGTGTGTGTGTGTGTGTGAGAGTGAGTGAGTGAGAGTGTGTGTGTGTGTGTGTGAGAGTGAGTGAGTGAGAGTGTGTGTGTGTGTGTGTGAGAGTGAGTGAGTGAGAGTGTGTGTGTGTGTGTGTGAGAGTGAGTGAGTGAGAGTGTGTGTGTGTGTGTGTGAGAGTGAGTGAGTGAGAGTGTGTGTGTGTGTGTGTGAGAGTGAGTGAGTGAGAGTGTGTGTGTGTGTGTGTGAGAGTGAGTGAGTGAGAGTGTGTGTGTGTGTGTGTGAGAGTGAGTGAGTGAGAGTGTGTGTGTGTGTGTGTGAGAGTGAGTGAGTGAGAGTGTGTGTGTGTGTGTGTGAGAGTGAGTGAGTGAGAGTGTGTGTGTGTGTGTGTGAGAGTGAGTGAGTGAGAGTGTGTGTGTGTGTGTGTGAGAGTGAGTGAGTGAGAGTGTGTGTGTGTGTGTGTGAGAGTGAGTGAGTGAGAGTGTGTGTGTGTGTGTGTGAGAGTGAGTGAGTGAGAGTGTGTGTGTGTGTGTGTGAGAGTGAGTGAGTGAGAGTGTGTGTGTGTGTGTGTGAGAGTGAGTGAGTGAGAGTGTGTGTGTGTGTGTGTGTGTGTGAGAGAGAGTGAGTGAGTGAGTGAGAGTGTGAGTGAGTGAGTGAGTGAGTGTGTGTGTGTGTCTGTGTGTGTATCATGAGCTCTTGCCTGCTGCAAGATGATGAACGCTGCTTTTGTTTAAAGCTTTGTTTATAGTTATTGAGCGGTCAATTCTTCTGACTGACGTCTGGACTGTGTTCATGAGTGAGTTTGTGGGGATAACGTGTTTATGCTGTGTGTGTTTGTTGAGTTTCTGTTCCTTGGACTCAGAACGAGTCTGGAATAAAAATCTCCTAATGGAAACATCATGGTGTCATTTTCATGTTCCTTGTGTTTGTGTTGCTGGGTGTTTTCTACAAACTGCCCAACTGTGGAGAACATTGTGAAATGTTCATTTTATCATGTGAGCACAAGCGCTTTCAGAAACACAAGCCTGATTTCATTGCTAAAAGTATGTTACCTGAACACCTTTATAACAGGATTTTGAGGAAACAGGTCTGTTTTCTTTCAGATCAACTGCCGTCATTTGGTTTAATAAATTATGCATCTAACCCTAATAAAGCAGGTTAGATAAACATGTTGATATATAGCTAGCTGTAATGATAGCACATCTGGTTTAATGACACATGTATTTGAAGGAAACTCTAGCGCCCCCTTGAGTTTTGCGGTTTAAAAACATTAAGTATGAAATTAAATGTTGAACAAGCCTTGAGAAAATACGGTAAATGAATAATTATGTGCATTTATTATGTCTATTAATTATTATTTCTTCCTAGACAATTCTAGGTTCCTCGAACGTTCTGGGAAGGTTATTTTCTGGATTTAAAAAAAGAACCAACAGAGATGTTGCTAAAATGTTATTAGGCTGTTTGGTTCCCAAAAACAGCCATATGAGAACGCTAGAGGAACGTTCTGTGTTTGTTGGGTTAATGAATGCACTGGTATTGTAATACACAATTCATCGGTGCTTCTTATTTTAAAGAAAAGGGCAATTTTTCCAATTTTGAAACGTTTGAAATGATATTAACCAAATTCCATGTCAGTTTCACATTTAGAAATGCTTCGCAGTGCAGATGCCAAATACATTGAGATAACATTTCATGTTGTCTTTGGCGTTCACTTTTTCTCCACCTTTAGCCTATTCCAAGTTAAAGTTAACAATAATAACACAGCAGCGCACTGTGCCAGTCTCATATTGTGTTGCGTTCACTCTGAGATTGGATTTCCAACCTTGTGTGATTCTGAAACCAAAGTTTTATTAATCCTTCATGTAAAATATGAACCGTTCTTTACCGCTTTACTGTTTTTCCATGAATTTTTGCCAAGTTGGATCATTCCTGTGTGTCGTTCAGGGACTCCATGTGTTCATGGATGAATACCGCTGTACTATACTTTCTCTCAAAGATTAAAGGGGTCATATGATGCAATTTCAATTTTTCCTTTCTCTTTGGAGTGTTACGCCGCCCAAATGTTGACGCAAAGAAAGGAGGTGTAACTTTTATTCTCACTGTAGTATTGTTGCTGCCGCCACCATGTCGTGAAGGCGCTGTGTGCTTCGTGGTGAAAGTGAAGCTACTTTGTTTGGTCTTCCAAAAGAGGACGATATCGCTTTGTCAAGCCTGGAGCTGATCCGTGCTGGTCGCTGAGGGAACACAACAACTTTGTTGTGGATCGCCGGATCGAAGCGGAGTCTAGCCCGGGGTCATCACATGTGGTTGCCGCAGGCATCACAGTATGGTGAGGGGCATAACATTTCCGTCACACACTTGAGGTATTCAGCCAATCACAACGCACTGGATAGCTGGCCAATCAGAGCACACCTCACTTTTTCAGAACGATGAGCTTTGTAAAAATCAATGCGTTTCAGAAAGGCGGGGCATAGAGGAGAAACAATAATGTACAGTATGTGGAAAATAATGTGTTTTTTTTAACCTTAAACCGCATAAACACATTTCATTATACCAAATACACAAAATAATGTTATGTTTATTTTTAGCAACATCATATGACCCCTTTAATGCAATAAAACCAATGACAGCCGATTGTGATTTAAAGTCATGCTTATCTACAAACCATTTCATGATTGATGTATTAGTATCAGCCTGTTTATTTTATGGTGTTACTATGTTTTCAATTAAACAACGTTTTGTATGCCAATTTTAATATGCAGAGATAGCTACGGTAGGCGAATAGGTTGACTTAACGTGACTGTGCAGAACAGTATAGCCTACTGTCATATTTCTGTGATCATAACTATGTAGGCTATTGAGCGGAGTACACATTTTCTGTATTAACGACGTACTTTGATGACCATTTGTCAAAAAGTGCAGTACACAACTGCACTGCATGGAATACCATGTCCCACAATGCAACGCGTTCGACTAGAAAATAAAAAAATAATCAAGAACTATTGAAAATAATTTCTATATTGAGGCATCACTATTGGTTTGCACAACGTTTTGTGTGTGTGTGGCCTATAACCCTTGACACATGTTTGTGTACTCACCTTATTTTTAACGTAAGGAAGTTTGTAACTTAACTGCAGTGTTGCCAAGTGACCGCCCACGAAATTGGGCTACTTTAACACTGTTTTCATGTCCAGGGGTTGAAACGACCCCAATGACGTGATATTTAGCGCATGGAATGCGACCGAATTTTACCTGGGGATCCCCGCCAAAACACGTGTATTTTATCCCCCGAATGCGGGAATTTTAAGGGCTATCACGCTGGCCTGACCCTCGAGACACCCAACAGCTCTGACACACACACCCCAGCACTGGACACCCAACACCCCCTGCGGCACACGAGTCTCTGCTGTCCGGGGTCAGTGTGACCGGCCGTCGGCTGGAGAGCAGCTGAGCGGAGAGAAACTAAAGCCTGCACTCAAATACGATTCTACGATAGACTACAGTGCAGGACAGTATAGGTAAGTGCATCACTGTATAGATTTACTGAAAATGCGTTTTCCCCAAGTGTGCCACACAAGTCCTGAAAAGTAAAGCCAAGTCGTTTTGATCGCCCCCAGGTGGTCATAAACCTCGCCCTCTCCATGTCTAATAGGAAGTGGGACAAACTAAATAGTTATTCTTTTTTTTTTGTCATTGTATGCAGTTTTTAACACGCTGATGTAAGTTCAAGTGCCCGTTTAATAAATAAGCTTGCTTTAGTTCATTATTTCATGCTATAAAAACATGAGTGTGACGTCATGATCGATGGCTGATACAGCTGTATAAAATATATTAATTTGTTACTTTTTAAATATGACTAGCCTAGGTGGTTAGTAGTTGTATTTATCTTATTTTAACAAACCTCTTCTACGGCAGTCGGCAGATATCAAAATTGGAGCAGTCAGGCTAATTGAAAAAGGCTCGCGATCGACGCACTACTGCGCATGCGCAGACACGGGTCCTGAATCAGATATAAAATCTGCGCCCTACAGATTGTTCGCATTTGACGTCATTGCTGTGGTGCGAAGTGCAGCTGGAGGGCAGGAAGCGATTGTTCTATATAGGAATTGCTAGCAGAAACTCAAAATTCCTATGTTTTGCGTTGGTTATCGATGCTCAAATCGGTCAAACCAAGAAACCACAAGGAGCTTTTTATCATGTACGAAAATGTTGTTGTTCATAAGTGGGGAAAAGGCAAGAAATTGATTGAAAACCGCAGGAAAAAGTGTCTTGTAAACCTGCGTCTGCGGTCGGGAGGAGCCGAGTCGGCTAATGCTCATATGTGCAAATGGTTAACATAGTAATATATTAATAATATATTAATAAAGAAATACATAAAAAGATACAGGGCTACCAACTCTCACCATTCAAGCATGATACAGTCAAAATTCACTCAATGCTAAACGCCACATGCAGACACGATTTAAATAAGATATTAAATGTGCAGTTTAGAGAGCTTCATTGATTATAACAGAGCAATGTGAGACTGTGATAAATTGGAGTGAGTGACAGCTTTTTAGTGATTATGTGGAAGCGCTATTTGCTTGCTTTCTAGGCTATAATCAGTTCAGAATTTGAATAAAAGTTTTGGTTTGCGTGCTGCTAACAGGACCAGCGGCCACATACCCTGCACGAAATTGGGCTACTTTAACACTGTTTTCATGTCCAGGGGTTGAAACGACCCCAATGACGTGATATTTAGCGCATGGAATGCGACCGAATTTTACCTGGGGATCCCCGCCAAAACACGTGTATTTTATCCCCCGAATGCGATTTTTAAGGGCTATCACGCTGGCCTGACCCTCGAGACACCCAACAGCTCTGACACACACACCCCAGCACCGGACACCCAACACCCCCTGCGGCACACGAGTCTCTGCTGTCCGGGGTCAGTGTGACCGGCCGTCGGCTGGAGAGCAGCTGAGCGGAGAGAAACTAAAGCCTGCACTCAAATACGATTCTACAATAGACTACAGTGCAGGACAGTATAGGTAAGGGCATCACTGTATAGATTTACTGAAAATGCGTTTTCCCCAAGTGTGCCACACAAGTCCTGAAAAGTAAAGCCAAGTCGTTTTGATCGCCCCCAGGTGGTCATAAACCTCGCCCTCTCCATGTCTAATAGGAAGTGGGACAAACTAAATAGTTATTCATTTTTTTTTGTCATTGTATGCAGTTTTTAACACGCTGATGTAAGTTCAAGTGCCCGTTTAATAAATAAGCTTGCTTTAGTTCATTATTTCATGCTATAAAAACAGGAGTGTGACGTCATGATCGATGGCTGATACAGCTGTATAAAATATATTAATTTGTTACTTTTTAAATATGACTAGCTTAGGTGGTTAGTAGTTGTATTTATCTTATTTTAACAAACCTCTTCTACGGCAGTCGGCAGATATCAAAATTGGAGCAGTCAGGCTAATTGAAAAAGGCTCGCGATCGACGCACTACTGCGCATGCGCAGACACGGGTCCTGAATCAGATATAAAATCTGCGCCCTACAGATTGTTCGCATTTGACGTCATTGCTGTGGTGCGAAGTGCAGCTGGAGGGCAGGAAGCGATTGTTCTATATAGGAATTGCTAGCAGAAACTCAAAATTCCTATGTTTTGCGTTGGTTATCGATGCTCAAATCGGTCAAACCAAGAAACCACAAGGAGCTTTTTATCATGTACGAAAATGTTGTTGTTCATAAGTGGGGAAAAGGCAAGAAATTGATTGAAAACCGCAGGAAAAAGTGTCTTGTAAACCTGCGTCTGCGGTCGGGAGGAGCCGAGTCGGCTAATGCTCATATGTGCAAATGGTTAACATAGTAATATATTAATAATATATTAATAAAGAAATACATAAAAAGATACAGGGCTACCAACTCTCACCATTCAAGCATGATACAGTCAAAATTCACTCAATGCTAAACGCCACATGCAGACACGATTTAAATAAGATATTAAATGTGCAGTTTAGAGAGCTTCATTGATTATAACAGAGCAATGTGAGACTGTGATAAATTGGAGTGAGTGACAGCTTTTTAGTGATTATGTGGAAGCGCTATTTGCTTGCTTTCTAGGCTATAATCAGTTCAGAATTTGAATAAAAGTTTTGGTTTGCGTGCTGCTAACAGGACCAGCGGCCACATACCCTGCACTGTACATGCAGCAAAGTTTCAGGAGTGACATATATCCCGCATCTCTCATATAAATGTGGGTTATGTCAGGGGTAGTCGCTTAGCCTATATTCACCGCCTCAATGGCAGGCAAGCATTCCAATTTAGTTGAAAAAAATCGCTCCTCTTCATAGCATTAGGATCATGTCCAACATATGTTGTGATTTTCTGTTTATACCTTTCTCTTGTAATAGTGTCTAAACCAGTACAGCACGGACTTTCCTCCATCTCATCCGTTCTGCTTTTCACTTCCTGCCCTCCATCTGAATTTCACACGTCATCAGAATCATGTGATTGCAAACAACCTATTGGGACACTGGCGGGTCCACGTTTTTACAATGGAAGAACGTGAAGGTGCGTCGTCCATCTTTTTTTTTTTTACAGTCTATGGTTCAGGGCGGACTATATTTATTGTCATTTTAGTAGGTTAATGTTGATGCTTCAGCTAGCCAGTTAAACTCTGCGGACCCGGATACGGGTCCAAAGTCCCGTAAAAAATGTGTATGCCTCATTTGCATAGCCTTCCTTATATGGTATCAGCCCATATATGGGTTCATTTGAAAGCTTGGAGTGTCTTCTTTACAAAGAATACCATTTCTTTTGGTTTTTATATTCATAAAGCAGTAAAATTAATCTTAGAAATGTATTAGTCCCACACACGATTTTCCGCCTAGCCATTGCGAACTTTTTTTACGAAGAATGGGCATTTGATATATTTTTTACAATAAAGTCAAGTCATATATCACAAGAAAGCTCTCATTCTCAGGAATTTCATGATGTAGGTTATTTTATTGTGTGACAATCATAGATCGAATTATCTTCAATAGATTTTAAGGGCTATCACGCTGGCCTGACCCTCGAGACACCCAACAGCTCTGACACACACACCCCAGCACTGGACACCCAACACCCCCTGCGGCACACGAGTCTCTGCTGTCCGGGGTCAGTGTGACCGGCCGTCGGCTGGAGAGCAGCTGAGCGGAGAGAAACTAAAGCCTGCACTCAAATACGATTCTACAATAGACTACAGTGCAGGACAGTATAGGTAAGGGCATCACTGTATAGATTTACTGAAAATGCGTTTTCCCCAAGTGTGCCACACAAGTCCTGAAAAGTAAAGCCAAGTCGTTTTGATCGCCCCCAGGTGGTCATAAACCTCGCCCTCTCCATGTCTAATAGGAAGTGGGACAAACTAAATAGTTATTCATTTTTTTTTGTCATTGTATGCAGTTTTTAACACGCTGATGTAAGTTCAAGTGCCCGTTTAATAAATAAGCTTGCTTTAGTTCATTATTTCATGCTATAAAAACAGGAGTGTGACGTCATGATCGATGGCTGATACAGCTGTATAAAATATATTAATTTGTTACTTTTTAAATATGACTAGCTTAGGTGGTTAGTAGTTGTATTTATCTTATTTTAACAAACCTCTTCTACGGCAGTCGGCAGATATCAAAATTGGAGCAGTCAGGCTAATTGAAAAAGGCTCGTGATCGACGCACTACTGCGCATGCGCAGACACGGGTCCTGAATCAGATATAAAATCTGCGCCCTACAGATTGTTCGCATTTGACGTCATTGCTGTGGTGCGAAGTGCAGCTGGAGGGCAGGAAGCGATTGTTCTATATAGGAATTGCTAGCAGAAACTCAAAATTACTATGTTTTGCGTTGGTTATCGATGCTCAAATCGGTCAAACCAAGAAACCACAAGGAGCTTTTTATCATGTACGAAAATGTTGTTGTTCATAAGTGGGGAAAAGGCAAGAAATTGATTGAAAACCGCAGGAAAAAGTGTCTTGTAAACCTGCGTCTGCGGTCGGGAGGAGCCGAGTCGGCTAATGCTCATATGTGCAAATGGTTAACATAGTAATATATTAATAATATAACATTTTGCAAGATTACTGTTTTTTTCTGTATTTTTGATCAAATAAATGCAGCCTTGATGAGCAGAAGAGACTTCTTTAAAAACATTACAAGTCTTACTGATCCCAAACTTTTGACCGGTAGTGTATATACATGTCATATAGAGTATATAATTAAAATAAATATATATAAAAGCATATATATATATCTCAAAGCATCAAACTTGTTTTATGAAGTATGAAAAACAGACACAAAACAGATGCTTACTGAAGAGTGACTAAGGCACAGGACGGAAGAATAACATCCAACATCGAGACTGCAATTCGTGGAAAATTACAAAATGTACCATTAAAAGAAAGTGTTTTGACATTTAATGCATTTTTCAGTTAGTCGATGCTGTAACTTCCCACACAGACACACCAAACCACAGTCTTAAAAAATCTTGGTAAATAAGGTAAAAGTAAATTACCACCATTGCAATTCTCATAGCTTGTGGTATTGGTACGGCTGACCAGTACTTAACTACAGGCAATCAACAGAGAAGGAGAAATGTGATGTGACGTGACACAATTAAATCATTATTATAAACATTTGATTTAAAGCTGCAGTAACTGAGGTATGTTTACATTCAGCGGGAGTCCAGCTTCATTTTCAATCCATTTGACGGGTGCTGGATCATTTGACTGTGCTGTAAATCACTGATGTATCCATCATCGCAACGGATCTGTGGAACAACATAATCAAATATGAAGGGTGAACGAGCATTTTTCTAGCGTGACTGAACTTTGATCAGCTCCTGAATTACTTGTGGTGGCTCTCAGTCTATTCTGAGGGATCATGCAAGTTGTTGTATAAAAATAAGTTTCGATATCACATGAGAAAAAAAAGCTATTTAGTTTCTCACCTCGCAGCAGAATCAGGATGGTGCATTCTCAGATTCTCATGCTTGCTTTCATTGTTTCTGATGTGCTGGATGCTTGCGTACTTGATCTTCTCAGTATCTGTGGATTCAGGAGTTTTTCCTGCGGTCTGATCTGTTCTGTTGGCCGAAACTCTAGCATACAGACCATCATCAAAGTGGTTTCTGTCAGAGCTGGAAGGCTGTTGAACCTGGAGAAAGCAGCCAAAACATTTTAGAAAAGTGTGTAATTTCAGCGTGTATTTTCACTTTGAAGATGGATGGATATTTCTACACTGCATGTTCTGATCTGCATCTGCCTGACTCCTTTTCTCTTCCTGTAGAGCAGAGATAAACATGTAAACGCAAACACATTAATAATTATGAATGAGTACACCGATGCGAAATATAAAACCAAAGATCTCACCTCAAGAACATGATGATGCAGCTAAGAAATAAAACTCCACATCCGACTGCAATCACAACAGCTGCATACAGGACTGTATTATGTCCACCTAAAACAGAAAAAAAGATGACTAACATATGATATAATGTCTGCATAGGAATAGAAACAATGTTTTTATTATCTGAAAAAAATTGAAAATGTTTGTTGGCAATCTTGCACTAACCTATATTTTGCTTTGTGCTATTTATTTTTTTTGAATAGCATATTTCAGTCCATTAACTATAATTGCTTAAACAATTATGCACACATTATATTAAAAGTTTACTTTAATGTTAAATTGTTGATATTTCAATTCTGATATTGTCTCAGAGCAGCAAATGTTTATCCACTCTAATAATTATGGAAGCATTTCACAAGAAGGGACAGTCCAACTAGGTTCTCTAGCAACCTTACCACAAAATGATTTATATTAATGAGCTTCAAAACTTGCACTATGATTATTTTTGTGTCAAATCGATTTACCTATAACAGTTACAGTAACAGCGTCTGATCTCTGAGATCCATGTTGATTGTGAGCCTCACAGTAGAAGCGTCCACTCTGTAGTGCACTGAAACTCTGTCCAGATCCAACAGCTGAGCTTTGATTCTCCTTAAACCAGCTGAAGTTCAGAGCAGGAGGGTTTGCATCACTGCTGCAGCTCAGAGTCACTGAATCTCCCTCCACTATTTCTCCAGATCCAGTTATGGACACTGAGACGCTCCTGGGAGAATCTGAAAAGGACAAATTAAAATTCACAATAAATATTAGTAAATTGTGAATTTGGAAATGTTGAACAATGTGCAGATGATCATTAACTCACACATGACGTTTAAATTCACAGCAGCAGAGTATTTCTCTATATTTTCATATCTAGACTTGCACTTGTATTCTCCACTGTGATCAGAGCTGATGTTTGAGATGCTGTAGATTCTTCCAGATCCTACAAGAGTTCTTCCTTTAAACCAGCTGAAGTTCAGAGCAGGAGGGTTTGCATCACTGCTGCAGCTCAGAGTCACTGAATCTCCCTCCACTATTTCTCCAGATGGACTGATGGACACTGACAAGTTTTTTGGTGCATCTATAAAGGATACATATTAAATCCTTATATCATCCCATTCAAACACAACTTCCAGGTTTTTAAAAAGAACAAATTAATCAGTACTCACACGTGACACTGAGCTGAGCAGCAGGAGAGATGTAACTGTGTCCATGTAGAGCACAGCTGTATCTGCCTGCATCCTCTCTTCTGACTGACTGCAGCAGGAGTTGATTGTTTCCGTCTCTTCTCTCAGTTAATGGCTGTGAGTTTCTGTACCAGATGAATGTTGCTCTGTCAGTCAGAGTGCAGCTGCTGTTACATGTCAGACGGACATTATGACCCTCTGTCACTCTCTCAGGAGCCTCCACCTGAAGATCTGAACACAACACACACATTATATCTAGTGCTGCTGTCATACACTGATTATTATTCAACATAATGCACAGAAGAAGAGCTCAGCCTCATGAAAGTCACCTGTGACAGTAAGAGTGACTCCTGGATTGCCAAGCCATTTTCCATCAGGTTTATCAGTGATGAATCTGAAATAGTACATGTGTTCATCTTTCTGTGTCACATGACTCAGTCTGATGGTGCGGTTCTGCTGTGTGTCTCCCAGATACTGAAGCCTCTGACTGTATTCAGGATCCTCAGACAGATCTGGATGCTCTTTACCCTTTACAGGGTTTTTGGTCCAGAACACTTTCTTGATCTTATATCCAGTAGGGTATGTATAAGTGCAGCTCATTATCACTGATGAGTCCTTTAGTGCACAGATGTGTGAAGGACTGTAACTCACACCCCAATCATTTTCACTGAAAACATCTGAAATTAGTTTTGTTTTATTATTTAAATGAATACTACAATTACTATCAATATTTGCTAATTAAAACAACAAGATTATTTTGGTATTACATTAATAAGGAAATCACTGGATAAACATAGCAAAGACACACATATGTGGGACTTCATGCTGGTATTGCTCCAATGGTAGGAACATATATATTTGGTCTTTTTTAAATATAATTAATGGAACTAAATTAACATGTTAAATACTCTTGAGCCATGAACAACATGCTGCACTATTATAGAATGACAGAAATGAAAGCACATACAAGCGTCTCAAACTCACAGTGAATCACGAGGAGAAAGATCAGAGGAAGAGGAGGAGCCATTCTGACTGACATCCCCAGAGCAACACCTACAACACAGCAATTCCTATAATCCAGTATGCTTGAGATGAAATTGTGAGATGGATATTTTACAAGTAAAATACTTTTCATTCTTTCTACCTCAAATTTGCATGTTCTTTTGTAATTATTTGTGAAATGTACAGCAATTTATGAGTGAAATCTGTTTCAAAGGAAACTCTGCACCATTTTTTCAGTCTAGTAGAATTAAAAATGTATTCTTCAGACAAAAAAACAAACAAACAATCTTGATAACAAAATGTTCATACCTCAGTGCAGGACAAGCAAATGACACATGAGAAATAAGGAAGGTTTACCAGCCTCATTTATAACCAGAGCTGCATCATTTCCTGTCTTTTTTTTTAAACCTCTAGTAACGTAAAAAAAACAAAACAAAAGAAAAAAAAAAATTCTGTTTATTTTTGCAGATTTTCCTATAGATCAGAAATACTTTCTTGTAAATGAAAACCAGGAATAAACATGCATATTGCATGTAAGCTGGACTTTCATGACATATACTAAACACACGAGAAAAAAAAGAAAGAAAAAGTACCCAAAGTCTTAAAATACAAACATCTGACACTGACATGTGAGGGCCTACATTCAGGCTGGACTGGGACAAAAAAATCAGCCCTGGCACCACTATGATCAGAATCAGTCCAGTCGGACAGCACCCATATATACACCATAATTTAAAACACACACACACACACACACACACACACACACACACACACAGACAAACACACACACTTGGACCCCATAACGTTGGGAATAGCAGGTACACACAAGCTGAACTGGCCTTAAAAAGAAACAAACTGTAGCCATTTGTAATTAGAGGCAACCACTGCATTTGAATCACAGTCCAAACAAACATGCTGCATACATGTAGCATGAGCAGTTATTTTTTATTTAAATACAATTGCACAATTACAAGATTTAAGGCAAACAGAGTGGTCTGACTATCTTTGTGAAATTATGCTAAAAATGCAATTTCACTCTCTGACAGCAGGGGGCGCTCATGAAGCAGCTGCAATATAGCGTTTCCTTGGTTCTCGCTGGAAACAAACTGCTGCGCTTATAAACACTGCTTTAATATGTATTATACAGAGGTAAGATGAAAAGAACTTTGAACATTGAAACTTTTCTAAAGGCAGTAATTTCCCTTCAGAAATACATTCTTATAAATCTCCACTGCAAATTCAATGTTTAGATTTTTCTTCCATTTTTTATTATTACCCAACAACGGTAAGTTTCTGTAAATCTGTGCCAGTTACGGAAGCAGCGGATTCACGGCAGCTTTGGCGGCTCCGGTCTGTCGCGGTGACTCGTCATGATTATAGCGCGTTCTCATTGGTTTGCGGGCGGCTGATTTGATGCGCGAGGTAAAGCTGTCAGAAAATCACATTGTGTTTGATGCAATACTAACACGATTAATTAATCAGGAGAAGAAAAAAAACTGTAAAGGTGTATTTTCACGCTTTCTCAAGCAAAGCAAATTTTGAAAGTCCTCTGAAAACATATCTTCTTACATTTTTGGTCATATATGTATGTTATATAGGTTGGCAACAGGAATAAAGTGACAAAATAAAATAAAAATGTTCATGTAAAATTTTAAATATTAACAAACATAAGAAAAACAAAGGAAATAATAAAATCATCAGAACGCTTTTCTAAATATTTTTTTTTGTTCCCTTTGTTTTCCTCATGCTTGTGAGGCTTACAGTTAAAGTTATTCTATGGTTTTATTCTTGTTTGCAACGTTAGAACGTTTTATTGCCAATATTTTAAAAATATGATTATTTTTGGTATTTTGCATGCTCTATTGTTGGAGTAGCATCACCCGGGTGTTTTTATTCCTATTATGGGAATAAAATAATCCCCATCTCCCCTCCCCCTCTCATTTGGCAGTTTTTACTTGGAAAATCAACTATATCTTTTTCTAGCATTTGAATAACTATGTATATAAACCTGAAACGTATAAGGATCAGAGAATAAATGTAATTAACAAATAAGGTAGGAAATGTGCATAATTGTAAATCGACAGCTGCCACGGTGTTTCTTATTTGTCTGTGATTCCTCTTTGAGTGTGAGGGGTGGATCAGATCTTAGCACTCAGCATACCGGTTAAAAAACTGCTACATATCTATTATTATATTCTGTGTCAATCTATTAATAGGCAAAACATGACAGCGACTGTGTAGATGCTTCCTGTTGCAGACCAGCAGATCTCCAGTGTGTCGAAATACATCTACAAAAGTTTAATGGCTTGTGGCTTTTTTTGCTGTTATGATTTTCCATGTATGTATTTAAGATGTTTTTTTTTTAACAAATTCAATTTAATTTAATTATTCACAAAATTAAAATCAGTATCATATGCATGTTACCCTTAAATTTGGTTTTGTTGGTGTAACCTTATTTAAATCAGAAATAACATTTCAGAAATAACATTGAACAGATGTTGCAACATTAAACATATTGAGCTTACAGTTTATTCAATGCTTGTATGTGTCCATGTCTGAGTAGAAAGTGGTTGGGCAAGCAGAGGTTTCAGTTCCTTGACGTAACCAGCAGAAGCTATAGTTAGACTTCTAGTCACTCAAACTAAAGATAATGTACTAACCAACACCAATGTTATTTATATATCTGAATGACGGAAATGGGCCTTAAGGGTTTGAAGAAAACTTTAAGTCATCTGCATCGTTCTTGGTAAACGAGACATTTCTACACTTTCTAAGAGTAGCTAAAATAGATTTGCTTGTTTGATCATGAGTTGGACGGCCCCTATAAGGTGCCGTTTCAAGCAAAAATACTTCTACAAGGATCCGTGTGATACGAAAGACATACTTATTCACTCAATCAGGTCAATTAGGAAAAGATATTGCATGCATCGCAACATGCATCCTAAGATATACTTGGATATTGTGCTGACAATGCAGGTCACCACAGGCTTTGGTTGAAAATTCTATAATTTCCACTAAAAGCTTTGACAAAAAATGTATCTTGACAAGTTTTTGTCAGAAGTCTCTCTAGATGAAACGTGCCAAATTTCATACAAATCAGATGAGGAGTTCTTATTTTTTTTAAGGGTTCCCTGAAAATTCAAATGGGTGGAAAAATGTAAACAAAGACCTAAAGACTAAGACAACAAGAATGTAGGGTAACATAACATATTCAGTCATTATATTGCCAAACATTAATCTGCTTCTACCAACATTTTGTCAGGATGGTCTCTAGATTTTGCACAAATTGGATGAAGAATTTAGGATTTCAGCAACATCCTGATCAAAAGGACCAGTGAGAGAAAATGCTCTTTGCAAAATCATGGCATAATCCAGCTCTTAAGCAAAACTAAAAAAAAGAAATTAAATGTCAGAATCAGACTTGCAGAGCCACAGTCCCACCACATGAGGACGATGTCAACATGCAAATCAGTTTTCCCAGGAACAATTTCACCAAACTGATCTCTTGATCATTTGACTGTGCTGTAAATCACTGATTGATCCTCCACCTTCTGACCAGATCTGTGAAATTAGTAGATTCATTGTATCAATGACCTTTACAGATCAGTACTGCCTGATGCAGATACAACCTCAACCAATGCAAGTGCTAAATTAAAACCATTTAAGTGTCCTCAGAAGTGATCTGATTAAATCTAAATATGTTATGAACATGTTATGATTGAGTTTCTCACCTCATGGCAGCATCAGGCTGGTATTTTCTAATGTTGTCGTACTGGCTTTCATTCTCTTCCGGTTGGTTCATCCCTTTGTTTCTATGATGCAGGACGGTTGCATACTGGATTTCTTCTGTATCTTCAGAATCAGACACTTTTACTTCAGTTTGATTGCCGCTGATATTGCTGAGACTAATTAATGAATAGAGGGCATCATTTTGATTCACAGGATCAGATTCAGACAGAGGTCCATCATGAGCTGATATGTTGACATAAAGATCATCCTAAAATGAAAAAAAATGACTTTATCTGTGGCAAACAATGTGGTGTTTGCATTTGCTTATTGCTCATTTGATTTACCTGCTTTTGTGTGATGTGATCTGGTCTGTGTTTTTTCCTCCTGTAATAAAGAATCATTTTAATTCTATGTAGGAAATAAAAATAAGTTGTCTATCAATACTTCACTCATACTGCATCTTGGTTAAGACACTATGGGGAAAACTCCTTGATCTCCGAATACTGAAGACTTACTGTAGTACAGGGAGGCTCCCCTGCACGTTGCTGACAGTCACGGCGAGTGCGTTTCATGCTTGGGCGCCGCCCATGCTGAAGCTGCACTTACCGAGATGGAATGTCCTCATTGCGAGGATATGAGTCTCACCTTTCTGCGCTCGCGGATAGCTTTCTTTTCAGAAAGCAACTTCCGCTTTCTTCCTCCCAGGAACCTGTGAGGAAAAAGCAAGTGGGCAGAGGATATCGGCGCTCAGTGACGAGTGAGCCCACGCCGGCTGAGCCCCCGCGTGCCTCACTCTCTCCACATAGAGAGGCTTCCCCCGTTCTCTTCTCTCACCCAGACCAGCATCCCTCAGCGGCTGCGAGCGATGTGGTCTCGTTCGGTGGGAGCGAGTATGACGACAGTGTGTCTCTGGCTACTTCAGATGCGGAGGAGCTGTCTTTTGACCCCACCCCCCTGCCCTCTGCAGAGCCCAGCGCTGCCAGCACGGGTATGGACGCCGCACTTTTCCGCGTCTTGTCTAAAGCTGTGCAAAAGCTGGGTTTGGATTGGTTTCTGCCAGAGGAGCCCACCCGCAGCTGCCTGGATGAATGGTTCTTGCCGGGGCGCCATCAAGCCCCTCGACAACGAGCTTCACCATTCCTTCCAGAGGTCCATGATGAGATCACTAGATCTTGGTGTGCCCCTTACTCGGCCTGTCTGCGTGCCTCCTCTTTGTCCGCCCTCACAACGGTCAACGGCACCAAAGAGAAGGGGTATGACAAACTGCCTCCCCTGGATGAGTAAGTGGCCGCGCATCTCTGCCCGCCCACGGCCATTGGCTGGAAGGCAAAAGCCGCCCACCCATCCAAGCCGTGTAGGATGACTTCAGCGCTCGCTGGAAGGGCCAACTCGTCTGCTGGACAAGCGGTCTCGGTGCTTCACTCTATGGCAGTCCAACAGGTCCTTCAGGCCAAACTTCTCCAGAATATGGAAGAGTCTGGACCGAACCCCACAGCTTTCAAGGAGCTGCTCAGCGCGACCGACTTGGCTTTGCACGCCACGAAGATGACTGCTCAGGCAATCGGCAGATCCATGGCCAGCCTTGTGGCACATTTTCAAATGGATAATTTATGCTATCAAACTAGCATACTCTTCTTTGGGCCTACAATGCCCCATGGGAGTAAGAGGCCACTCAACAAAAGGTGTTGCCTCTTCCTGGGCTTTGTCTAGCAGAGTCTCCATTGCAGAAATGTGTGCGGTGGCCGGCTGGGCCTCGCCGTCCACATTTACCAGGTTTTATAGTCTGGATGTTCTGGCCTTACAGGCTCGGGTCCTTTCTGCTTAAATGGACTTACGCTGGCCTTATGGCAAAACTTCACTGTACGCTCTTGGCCTCCACTGGGTTCCGAGGCTGAACAATTTATTTTGGAACGATTACTCAGTGCCGGGCCGACCTCTGTGAGTTTGGCCCTATCGTCTCCTGCAGGGCTTCCCTGCAAAATACTTGGTGGTCAAGGCAAGTTCAAGCATTAGTCGTTCCTCTAGCATAGCATGGAGGGATTGTACTGGTTCACCATAGTGTCTTAAGCAAGACGCAGTATGAGTGAAGTATCGATAGAGAATGTACTCGGTTACTAATGTAACCTCGGTTCCCTGAGATACGGGAATGAGTACTGTGTTGATGGCCTTGCTATGTAGCTGCATGACACAGTCGTCGCTTCAGTCGAAGTAACTTGAGGATCCTATGGCGAAGTGCCCGCTTATATAGCCAGATGCCCCACCCATTTTGGCGGGCTCTGGCGGGCTGTGTCGCCATAGGCTCATGCAGCTCCGCTGCCGAGCCATTGGATCGTTTTTAATACACTGCACAAACCAATGGCCGTGCAGTTACACTGCGTTATTGAAAGGATTCAGTATTCGGAGAAAAATGAGTTTTCCCCATACCGCCTTAAGCAAGATGCAGTACTCGTTCTCGTATCTCAGGGAACCGAGGTTACGTTAGTAACCGAGTACGTTTGGTATACTAATGTGTTTTCCGACAGACTTCGATGACTTCGTATGAACTTACATGAGCAACACGATGATGAAAATGAAAATGAAACCTCCCAATCCACCAGTGACCCCAGCAACTGCATACAGAAATGTTCTTCCTACAACAAGACGAGTGACAGGACAATGTTTTGATCACTATACACAATGACAAAACAAAACAGCAGTAGGACAGTGTGTACACCAGTAGGACGCCTGCATTTCAGTACAATGTTTATCTTCATAGTCAAAGATTTTGCGACATTATAATGCCTCCTCAAACACAATTTTGTGCAATTGACAATATACAAACAAATATTACAAAATACAATTATTACTAAATCAAATAACACCCAATTTCGTAGAGTAGCATCGTCCTACAACGACACCAATGGAAAGTGCATTCATTGAGGTGAATGTGAAGTGAATCGTGAGATCATGTGAGAGAAAGCGAAACCTCAACAGTGCATTGATTGGCTCATTACCTTGTCAATAAAATAATGCCTGCCAATCGTGTTTGTAACGGGGCTGACGAGACGTGAGGATCCATCTGCAAGCTTTATTCAAAGAGACGTGGTATAACAGGCAGGGTCGAACAATGGCAAACAGGTATATGGCGGGCAAAAACACAAGAATAGTCCTAGGGCTAGCGTAGGTCACCGATCAGCAGACAGAATCACAGGGGCAAGACGAGAGGGAGAAATCCAGGAAAACAGGCAAAGATCAGATACCGCAGAAACAGGCAAGGCAAAACAAGGAAAACACGGAGACTCGGAAAGAGGTACAGGCTAAACAATACTCAGCAGAGAAAGGTGGTTAGAGTGGGTGTTATATAGTGAATGAGGTGATTAGAAACAGCTGTGTGCAATGAGTGCAATCAGGGCAGTGTGCAAATTGTGCAAAGAATGATGGGATATGTAGTCCGGGGTGCTATGCAACAGTTTGTGTAGTGCGAGAGTCAATGTAATGGAAAGGGTGACCTCTGGTGGTGAATAAACGGAAGTCCATGGACCGAATTCGTGACAGTGTTCTCTTGCCAGCTATGATTTGCTGATTATTATTTCATTGCGACAACCACCTTTTATGCTCGCAATCAGACTGAACCGGTTCAAAGACTTTAACAAGATGGTTCACCCATATTACTATGGGAGAAAGTGTAATGCGAAATATGTCATAATAAGTCCCGCCATCTAAATGAAAGAGCCAATCACCAATTGATAAAGTCATTGCATTACTTTGTTGAAGGTTTGAATTATGTTATTTAAATGTGAGCTTGGCAAACATTTTTTGAGATTTCAGGATTTTTCCATTCATGTAGTGAAGATTTGGATATTCACGATGCAGCTGCTCGGAGGTGTTGCAAAGATGGCCGCCATGTGAACTAAGTTTTCTTGAAAGGGTCTTTGATCCATCCAAGTGCTGGAAATGGACGGACTTGTTATAATGAAATCAGCTCACCCTCTCAGATATGACCACTTTCAATTATGTCCAAATCAAAATAAACAAAACATGAAATAATCTGTGAGAATCCTGTTTTTAGCGAGTGAACTACATTAATACCGTGTTTATAGAGGAGTTCCCGAATTAATTATTTTTTTCTTTTATTATTGATGTGCCTTTAATCTATAATAACAGAATGGAATGAAAACATTAAATTACATTGGACCTAAAACTCCAAACATCACTTACTTTATGGGATTTTATAAGTACAGTCATAAAATAACAGTAAACTTATTTTATATTTTTATAAATTGATATTATAATTCTTGATATTTGCATCACATTTTCTTTTTTTCTTAGAGAATATCAGTAGCAGAAAAGTTTGTCTAATCACAGATTGATACACACCATGTACAATGACAGTAACAGCGTCTGATCTCTGAGATCCATGTTGATTGTGAGCCTCACAGTAGAAGCGTCCACTCTGTAGTGCACTGAAACTCTGTCCAGATCCAACAGCTGAGCTTTGATTCTCCTTAAACCAGCTGAAGCTCAGAGCAGGAGGGTTTGCATCACTGCTGCAGCTCAGAGTCACTGAATCTCCCTCCACTATTTCACCAGATCCAGTTACGGACACTGAGACACTCTTTGGAGGATCTAAAAAGGACAAAAATTTAAATTCAAAATACATATTAGTAAATTGTGAATTTGGAAATGTTGAACAAGGTGCAGATGATCATTAACTCACACATGACGTTTAAAGTCACAGCAGCAGAGTATTTCTCTCCATGTTCATTGATGGACTTGCACTTGTATTCTCCACTGTGATCAGAGCTGATGTTTGAGATGCTGTAGATTCTTCCAGATCCTACAAACCTTCCTCCTTTAAACCAGCTGATTTCTGCAGGAGGGTTTGCATCACTGCTGCAGCTCAGAGTCACTGAATCTCCCTCCACTATTTCACCAGATGGACTCACTGCTACAAAAGCCCCCTGTGGAGGATCTAGAGGTCCGGTATATAGAATGAAAATAATATTCATAAAAACATTTAACATTCTAACCAATTTGGTCTTTTACACAATATGAATTCTTCATTGTACATGTCTCATATATGAATACATTTACTCAAGTTGGCAAAGTATGACTGTACTCACATGAGACACTGAGACGAGCAGCAGGAGAGATGTAACTGTGTCCATGTAGAGCACAGCTGTATCTGCCTGCATCCTCTCTTCTGACTGACTGCAGCAGGAGTTGATTGTTTCCGTCTCTTCTCTCAGTTAATGGCTGTGAGTTTCTGTACCAGATGAATGTTGCTCTGTCAGTCAGAGTGCAGCTGCTTTTACATGTCAGACTGACATTATGACCCTCTGTCACTCTCTCAGGAGCCTCCACCTGAAGATCTGAACACAACACACACATTATATCTAGTGCTGCTGTCATACACTGATTATTATTCAACATAATGCACAGAAGAAGAGCTCAGCCTCATGAAAGTCACCTGTGACAGTAAGAGTCACTCCTGGATAACCAGTCCATTTTCCATCAGATTTATCAGAGATGAATCTGAAACAGTACATGTGTTCATCTTTCTGTGTCACATGACTCAGTCTGATGGTGCAGTTCTGCTGTGTGTCTCCCAGATACTGAAGCCTCTGACTGTATTCAGGATCCTCAGACAGATCTAGAGACTCTTCACCCTTTACAGGGTTTTTGGTCCAGAACACTTTCATGATCTTATATCCAGTAGGGTATGTATAAGTGCAGTTCATTATCACTGATGAGTTCTTTAGTGCACAGATGTGTGAAGGACTGTAACTCACACCCCAACCATTTTCACTGAAAACCTCTGAAATTATATATACATATATTTCTTTTATTCAAATTAACTGCATCAGTAGAGCTGGAGGATGCTGAAAAGCAGAAACAGGTCTGACTTACCCGGAATCATGAGCAGAACGATCAAAAGAAGAGGAGAAGCCATCCTGACTGACATCAGAATAGCAACATTTACAACACAATCAATGTAGTGCTTTATTTTATCGTCTGTGAAGGTAAATATCATGAAATCCATCAATAATTTTCATTACAGTAAAATAAGAAGTAAAAATATGGATTTCATGTTTAATGCACATTAATTTTTTTTTTCATATGACTCTCAGGTGAAACAGAAATGTTTTTGTGAATTTCACCAATTATGTACAGGTCAAAACTGAACAAACATTTTTTTTTTTAATTGCACAAACAAATAAAAATACTATATGTTGAAACAGTTTCCATCTTCGAAATCAAGTCTGTAAAATTCCAGTCTTTTTTTTTTTAATGCAATGACTAAACATTTGTGTCTTATAAACATGCAGCATGAACACGTACAGAGGACAAGGACATTTCTAATTTTTCTTTTAAAATGTAAATTCATAAACTACAAACAGACAAAATCTCCCTTACCGTTTTTCAGAGATGAAGCTATACGGAACATTACAATCATAAGATGACTTCTCTTGAAGATGAACTCTTTTCAAGTGCATTTTACCCTCAATTGTTGCTTCCAAAGCATTTTTTTTCTAACTTAAGAAAACACCTCATCATAAAAAGGACAGGGCAAATGAAGCAGCATCCGCCAGTGCATGAGAATTAGTCAAACACAAAAAAAAAAGAGGAAGTGAAAAGAGACGAGAGAACAACATGCAAAGTTTTTCACATTTTCAAAGAGATTCCCGAAGATACATATGATTTTCATTCACGGTTTTTATTTCTTCATAGACCGGACTGTCCACAGATATTGAGTTCCTTCAGAAGGAAAATAAAAATGCAACCATGTTCTTTTTTTCTTGAAATTAAATTAGTGAGATTTATATGAGCTTTTAAGACAATACAAACTACTAAGCTTTTAAACTACGTTTCTCTTCCTCTTTGTGTGTTGATAAGAAGCCTGTGAACCGCATTAAACCTTTATGCAAATCCTGAACCGACAGAATCTGTATCCTGTACGACACGGATACTCTCAGTTCCTTGTTCATTGTTGCACACACTGCAAGGGAACCACATCAGTACTAGGCTGCGTTCCAGTCCAATTTTTTATGCCCTTCACTTGCAAACTTTACTTGGATGTGCATCATTGATTACGTTGCATGAGTGCCCACTACTGGCGGAACCCTTGGAATGTCCTGAACTGGAACGACCTAAGCCCTTGATCACTTAGTATCTGCTATGGGGTTGGTTTATTGTTTAAATTTGTTTCCCTTATGAATTTGTTTGGTGCAGCATTCTATATGTATATAGACATGCTTGGGCTGTTATAAATGTAAAAAAAAAGGTAACACTTTATTTCGATAGTCCACTTTAGACTTTCTATTAACAGCAAGTAACTTTGCAACTACATGTCAACTAGCAGTTAGTAGAGTATTAGTAGACTGTCTGCTTAATATCGTCTAACTCTTTCTTTGTCAACTTATTCTACTAACCCTAAACCTACCCTAAGTCTACTCTGAGAGTTAGTTTACATGTAGTTGCAAATTAATGAGAATTAGTTGACATGTAGTTACAAAGTTACTTATAGTTAGTAGAATGTCTAAAGTGGACTATCGAAATAAAGTGTAACCAAAAAAAAATAAATAAATTATAGAGTTGTTTGGGGTGGGGTTAAATTAAACCCGATCTGCGATGACGTCATAATCGTGTTGCATTGTGGTCTATGGAGCGGTCTGAAGTGTGCATATGAAGCAGACTCGCTCCCTCGGTCAAAATCGAGAGGTCGAGGGTATGTCCCTGTAAACTTCCCTCGTCCACTTGACGAAGTGGAATGCACTTCAAAATGGCAGCGGGGATTCCCCCGAGGGGAAGTGCTTAGGGAAGTTTGAGAGTGCGCATCTAAAAGTGAACTGGAACACAGCCCTAGTGTTAATTTTGTCAGCCATTTTTAATTTAGTCTTAGATTTAGTCTTTTAAATTGGTCTTAGTCCTGGTGTCAAATGTACTTTTTAGTTACCATATTTAGTCAACCTTGTCCTGTTTTTGTTTAGTCAAGTTTTAGTCGACTAAATGTCGGAGCATTTTAGTCTAGTTTTAGTCAATGAAAGCGCTTTGTCACATTCGTTATTCGTCATGCTGTATAATAGTTCAACTGATAACATTTTTTGGGGCTCAATTTTAAATCACAAAGGTTGATGTCATTTGGGAAATGTATTTTTACATTTCAGGTATTGCACTTTCACTAATACGCACAAATCAATAGAATGTGGACTCATACAGATGCTTTATTTAACCTCATCTATTGTACTGATTTATTGTAGGCTATTTAATATATAAATTAATATCAAAGACTTGGATATGCACTCTCTCTGTCTACATTATGAATACTAGCAAAAACAAACAAAATATTTCAAAATTAAAATTTCTAACAATAATTCCAAATTGCAATAATGTTTCTCTATTAAAACAAGAGCGGTTGAGTTAAGTGTATTTATTCAGCAAACACAAATGCAAACAAAATATAGTCGAGCGCTCCTGACAGAACACAGACAGGCTGAATGACACTTTCATTTAAGCTGAACATCTCACATGGAGATCGCTAAACTTCAGCTTACTTGTTTGTCTGTGTTTTTAGATCATCGTCGGCGCTTCTGTAATAAAGAGAGAGTGTGTGAGCATGGTTGCCAGATTGCAAAAAAATTGCAAAACACCAGGCAGAAATGCATCCTTTTACTCTAACAGAGAAGCTCTGAATTACGGATTTGAACTCTTGATGTCTGGCAACCGCACACATGAAAGCTAGAGGCGTGTACAGCAGTCTGCAATAAAGTTTGACATTTGTTAATCTGACGTCACGCCTCACCGCTTCTAGGTCCAAACGCTCTATCACATAGGTCTTCAACCCTTCTCCTGGGGACCCACTGTCCTGCAAAGTTTATTTCCAACCTGCTTCAGCACACCTGGCCTCTGACTTTTCAAGTGATCCTGAAGACCTTGATTAGCTGGTTCAGGTGTGTTTGATTAGGGTTGGAGCTAAACTCTGTAGGAAAGTGGGTCCCATGGAGCAGGCCCAGAGACCACACGTACGTCTGCAAGATGTCTGTTAAAGATCGCTTCATCTGGAAAGCATCTGCTGTGTACAAACATCTGATAGACGTCTTTAAGATGTCAGTTTTACATGCATTCTAAATCATAAACATCTTAAAGACATCTTCTAAACGTCTGTTTGACATCTGATAGGAAACATTCTATAGACGTACTGCAGATGAGCAAACACTCTAAAAAATATGTCTTGCAGATGTAATGCAGACATCAAATTGTCGTCTCCGTGATGTACGTGTGCTATCAGGGGGGTTGAAGACCTACAGTATGCTCTATCAGATGCCACAAGAAAACAACAAACAGTGGTCATATACACTCACAATGTGATATAATACCACCAAAAATTATAATCCTAACCCTTAACTCCATACCGAAATTCCAGATAGCAGAAAAATGAAAATATAAATATAAATAAATAACTATAAAAATTATTTGTGTCTGGGACACTGTGAGCACGGAGACGGTTTTTAAATGTTTAGCTTAAACGTGTAATAAAACGTATTTAGCTTAAACAGTGCTCATAAACAGCTGTTGAGCAAAACAAGTTGAGGCTTGGACCCGGAAACAGCATTTCTTACAAAAAAATGTAAATACATTTTGGTATAGTTTTTATTTTTATTTTCGTCTTTTTCATCAACAATATTGCATGTTGATATACTCACAGTTATCGTTTATTGACCTTATTGTCGTCTCGTCATCGTTTCGTCTTAAGCCCGAGACACTGCACAATTTCAGCAATCCTGTATGATCATTGCAAATCACACTGGATTTGATAAACTCGGGTACTACATGTATGCAGACTGTACGATGATGACACCTATTGACTCTAGGCTGCGACGCACGCTACTATGGAAGAATAAAACGTTATCAGCATGCGCTAGTGGTAAACAAAAAGAGCTTGATAAATCACACTTGGGAAGTTGTAGTTTTTATGTGTGCTGAAAAAAAGTGGAAGCGGTGAAAGAGGAAGGGATACGAGCTTGAGGTAAGCAGTTTTATGTTTTAGCGCCATGTCGCGTTAATTTCATGTCGCATTTCTATTGGCTGGTCAGTAATCGTGGGTCGTAGCAGCAGACACACTGTGCGATGATCACTCTGAATCTCTGACACTGTCAGAAAATGATCGTAGGCTATCTTTGGTCGCAAGACCGTGACAACGGCCGTCTTTGAACCTCTCTCACTGTACGACATAAGACCACCGATTAGGAGCCACGATCACAGATAACCCGCGATAACCTCCCCGTGCTGGGTTGTGTCGTATCATGTGTCGACAGCCAGAGATATTGTCAAAAACATCAAATATTGGCAATATTAAGAGGATTTGGCATTTCCAATTAATGTAGGCCTGTTACATTCTTCTTATTATTAGGCCTATTATTATTATTAGATTATTTGTATTATTAAATTACAATTAATTTGCCCTGCAACAATTTCATAGCACATCACTGCATAACTGACGCACTGTGAGGATAATAAAAGATTAGGCTATTGGCTTACTCCTCATTAAAAATGTATTTAAAAAGGTCTTTTAAAACAGGTCTATTAATTTATACAATGAATTATAGGCCTATAATTCAAATTATTAACACTGCAGTCATCAATGAAAATTAAGAACAGCTTTATTTCAAGCACCGACTTTCAAAAACAATGTTTAACGCAAAATACATTTATCTTTGTTTTTCACTATGTATGGGCCACAAGAGAAATATTAAGGGAATAACTCAAGACAGTTATATCAGCTGTTCACCGACATAACTCTTGCGCAAAGTTTGCACATTGCTTAATATCAGCCTTCACGGTTTAAAACATATATATTTCCAATATTGCGACATAACAAGCCCCCAACATGTAAAATTGCATAACTAGCCTTTTTATGGAAAATCTGAAAAATACTGATATCTAAGCTTAAAAACATTAAAAATTTAAATGCAGCAGGCTTAAAAGATTGTATAAAGTGTAAAGAGAAAACAAACTTAAGTGATTACACCATTTTATCAATTAATTAACTCTTTATTTCCATTTTCACTTAACTATCACTGCTGTCTCATCCTGACCGTGTCAAGGACACACACACACACACACACACACACACACAGACACAGAAACAGACACAGACACACACACACAAACTTACCAAATCAGCAATATCGTTATGATAACTGCAGCTCCACAAACCCCTCCAACGGATATGTACAAAATCACCAGACGTCCTACAACAGAGACAAGAGAGTAAAACATCTGAACAGATTCACTTCAGAAAGAGAAATATAAATATATGAGCTGCACCTTTAAAAGTGACAGTAACAGCGTCTGATCTCTGAGATCCGTGTTGATTGTGAGCCTCACAGTAGAAGCGTCCACTCTGTAGTGCACTGAAACTCTGTCCAGATCCAACAGCTGAGCTTTGATTCTCCTTAAACCAGCTGAAGCTCAGAGCAGGAGGGTTTGCATCACTGCTGCAGCTCAGAGTCACTGAATCTCCCTCCACTATTTCACCAGATCCATTTATGGACACTGAGACATTCTTTGGAGGGTCTAAAAAGGACAAACATTTTAATTCACAATAAACGGAAGAAAATTGTGTGTTTGGAAATTTTGATCATTAACTCACACATGACGTTTAAAGTCACAGCATCAGAGTATTTCTCTCCATGTTTATTTCTGGACTTGCACTTGTATTCTCCACTGTGATCAGAGCTGATCTTTGAGATGCTGTAGATTCTTCCAGATCCTACAAACCTTCCTCCTTTAAACCAGCTGATGTCTGCAGGAGGGTTTGCATCACTGCTGCAGCTCAGAGTCACTGAATCTCCCTCCACTATTTCTCCAGATGGACTCACTGCTACAAAAGCCCCCTGTGGAGGATCTAGAGGTCCGGTATATAGAATGCGAAATATTAATAAAAACATTTAACATTCTAACCAATTTGGTCTTTTACACAATATTAATTCTTCATTTTACATTGTCTCATATATGAATACATTTACTCAAGTTGGCAAAGTATGACTGTACTCACACGTGACACTGAGACGAGCAGCAGGAGAGATGTAACTGTGTCCATGTAGAGCACAGCTGTATCTGCCTGCATCCTCTCTTCTGACTGACTGCAGCAGGAGTTGATTGTTTCCGTCTCTTCTCTCAGTTAATGGCTGTGAGTTTCTGTACCAGATGAATGTTGCTCTGTCAGTCAGAGTGCAGCTGCTGTTACATGTCAGACTGACATTATGACCCTCTGTCACTCTCTCAGGAGCCTCCACCTGAAGATCTGAACACAACACACACATTATATCTAGTGCTGCTGTCATACACTGATTATTATTCAACATAATGCACAGAAGAAGAGCTCAGCCTCATGAAAGTCACCTGTGACAGTAAGAGTCACTCCTGGATAACCAGTCCATTTTCCATCAGGTTTATCAGAGATTAATCTGAAACAGTACATGTGTTCATCTTTCTGTGTCACATGACTCAGTCTGATGCTGCAGTTCTGCTGTGTGTCTCCCAGATACTGAAGCCTCTGACTGTATTCGGGATCCTCAGACAGATCTAGAGACTCTTCACCCTTTACATTGTTTTTGGTCCAGAACACTTTCATGATCTGATGTCCAGTAGGGTATGTATAAGTGCAGCTCATTATCACTGATGAGTTCTTTAGTGCACAGATGTGTGAAGGACTGTAACTCACACCCCAACCAGCACCAGAAACCCCTGAAACACAGAATTCATACCGAACAATAGTTTTTTCATTATTATTTTTTTATGTTTTGCAAGCAAGATGGAAGCAAGCATTGATGCAGTGACTCCACGCTCTCACTCTAATTGCTCTGTATGTGTGTTCTTGTTTATATGCGTGTTTGCCAAAGTTATGTTTAGTAGTGCAAATTCCACATACAGTAACCAAGATCTTCCGATCATATAACTACAGCTTAAGCAGATCTTGAGTGAACTTTTGCACTTAGACAATATACCAAGGGAGATAGCCTGGACACCGGGCTCTACATGAATTGTTTTTGGGTCCGACAGGTGTCAGGGGCATAGGAGACACAGCAAACAAAAGCATGAATGCCAGTTCGCCCTACTTGCCAGACGACTGCACAAACCAATGCTACCCTGGCATTCTCACCAATGCCAGATATTTTAGCAAGAAAATGGATGAACTGAATCTACAAAAAAATAAATACAAAAATAAAATTATTTATTTTTTTTAGATTTACCTATATCATGGGTAGATAGGTAGGTTTTTCCAATTTGGAGTACCTGACAGTCAAATGTATCTATCATGTTTTTCAAGTAACTAGTAAAGTAACGCATTACTTTTTAATTTACAAGAGAATATCTGAGTTACTTCTTCAAATAAGTAATGCAAGTTACTTTTTTTCCAATTTATTGATTGACAACTCTGGTGTCCCCATGTTGAGAGAAATCAGATGTTACTGTAATTCTAAAATAAATATGAATATGCATTAATTCATCTCACTCACAGATTCAGTATTCCTCAAAATGAATAAAAATAATGCAACTCCGAATATGACGCAAACCTGCAATAATTAAATGTTAAACAAAACACATATCCTTTATGTATTTAATCCCATTCTATTAACCAATGTCTTTGCTTCTGACCTTCGATGATCCAGTTCAAGCGTACTAATAAGCACAAATAACTCTAGACGAACATTTGTGTGTCTTTTTTTATTGCTGAAGTGTGTTGAAATGTCTTCTTATGCATTCTACTGCACGGACGTAAATTTACATTCCTTTCAGCCTGAGGCTTATTCATTTCACTTTTGGTGTGAAATGGCTTTTATATTTGCCAAAAATATAACTTTTTTTATTTTAAAAACAAAACAGCAAGCCCTGTCCAGATTTAAAAAATAAACATAACCCCCCCCCCCAAAAAAAAAAAACACCTTAAACATCAATGGCGCTATTTGAGGATACTGTTTATATACTTTAACACAGTCTTCCCAGGTAGATTGGTCGCCAAACTTGATGACTTAAGAATTTCACAGTCCGTCTGCCGTTGGATAAAGGACCATCTCTTTTCCTTCCTCACACTCAGCACTGGTGTGCCACATGGCTTAGTGTCGAGTCTGCATCTGTATTCTGACTACACTCATGACTGTACCCCCAATACCATTGTTAAATAGTCAAGAATGTCAAGAAGCCACAGTAGATATTCCACTTCCTGGGGATCCTCAGGTAAAACCACCTGCAAGAAACGCTACTGTCCTGAGGGTCATCAGCCAACATTTCGAAACACTGTCTTTTTGACTTGCTGCCCTCAGGTAAATGCTTCAGGTCCATTGTATCATAGACAAATGAATCACAGACATTTTATCACAGGCTCAAAAGCAGTTTCTCCCCAAAACAAGAACCAAACACCGTCAAATACTGACTTCCCCATCGGTTGAAATCACCGGCACCCTCAATAGCTGGGGGCCCTGGTTATAGGTATACATATTGTTTTTGTTGTGTTATTTTTGCTGTATAATGTTGTTGTACTCTGTGCAATGAGAATAGAGTAACTAAACTGAAAAGATATTTGAAAAAAGCATAATATCGAATCTTGATAAAGTGTTGCTGAAACATCAGTGACTCACCGTGAATCATGATCAGAAAGATCAGAGGAAGAGGAGGGGCCATTCTGACTGACATCACTACAGCAACTCCTACAACAAATGTACAGTGGCTTATTTCAGCATTTGTGATTCTGACATTCTTTAAAACTTATTTGTGTCTTTTTGAAATGCTTTATAAGGCAAAAATGTAGATATTACAGTAGTTAATTGTCTGTAGATGCTTTGAAGCTTATCATATGGTGTGTAACTCATGGCGAGTTAAGTTTTACTCAAAACTTACAATCTATTATCTATTTGTCTATTTTGTATTGTTTTTACATATTTTTACTCACTTATTATTTTGTTATCTGTGTCTTATCCAGTCTGTGCACCTGAAACTTTTGTCACCAAGACAAATTCCTTTCTGATTAGATATTAGCTTGATTATGATTGCACGTGCAAATGTACTAGTTTGTGGTTAACTTAATGTAGTATCAATTATCTTCCTCTTTCTTGTCAGGCCAAATCAAACACCATCTGTTCTGAGATTGAGCAAAGAACAAACCAAAAAGAGAACTATGTTCTAGTTCTTATAAAAGTCTATTAAACAATATAATTTGACAGAATATTTGACAGAATGGTAATAAAATCATGCACTTACCCATTTCACCAAGACTCATGACCAGTGACAGCACTACAATAGATCAAGATGATACCAGCACTGCTGTTTTCACACTCTAAATATCACGTGATTAACACATTATATTTTAATATGTTTTTAACACCTCAACTAGTGCTAGATAGAGCAGGAGAAGCGTTTTAGCAGAGGACATTAGGCTAAAGGCCAATGAAAGTTGAACTGATAGAAACATGAATTTAGGTCATAAAGATGATCCTGTTAATTTTTCAAACTTGGGAATATCTAAACATAATCAATTGCATACAGATGGCGATGACAAGGAGATTGTTGTCACTGCACCACCCGGCCAGGCGGCTCACCTCGCTCCTGTAGTTTGTCTCATCTCTGCTGCTAATGAGACCCACTACAGTCGTGTCATCCACAAACTTAATAAGGAGGTTGGAGTTGTGTGACGGTCCAGATCACAAGTCCAGACAGTCCAGATATCCTGGTTTGAGAACTGCTGGACCTGGGATTGTGAAATACCGTAAAACATTGCATTGGCAGTGACTGCAATATGCTGTGCATTTGATGAACCTTAATTCATTACCAAATTTATATTAATCAATCAATGGAATAAACGTAAAATATGTTGATGAAGCAGAATTTATTTCATCTAAATGTCTTAAAAGCTATAATGAACTTATAAGCTTTTTCTGTCAGCAGCCTGTTCTTGTATACACGCTGAGTCTTTAAATATGGCCATAAATGCAGTTTCCGTTGTAATGAGAGAGGCGAGAAAAAGAAATGCAGGTAGGCACCTGACAAAGTAGGCGGGGACATCCCGCTAAATGGTCAACTTCAGAAGGAGTGAGCTTTGACCCCCAAAGGAGAGGGGAGATCAGGAGGACTCGAGGCTATGGAACAGCATCCTGATCCACCGCTTAACATAAGCTTCTCTGGCCAGAGGCCTCAGCGCACTGTGGAGGAAACGTGTATCTAGGGGGTGTCTGCCCACTGACTGGCCACCGATAGGGGTGTGGTAGGCCGCAACAACCGCCACGTAGATTTTCAAGGTGGAGTGGGTCAACCCTGCAGAGAATCGGGCCTGCAGGAACTCCAGCACTGTACCAACTGGGCAGTAAACTGGGTCGAGCTAACGGTCTCTGCACCAAGAAGTGAAAACTTCCACTTCAGGGCATACAGTTTCCTCGTAGAGGGCGCTCTGGATTGGAGGATGTCTCAACAACCTCGGTTGAGAGACCGGAAGCTACGAGTTGTGCCCCCTCAGAGGCCACACCCATGGCTTCCACAGCTCCGGGCAGGGGTGAAAGATTGTACCATCCGCCCGTGAGAGGAGATCCCTCCTGACGGAAATCTCCCATGAAGATATAAGAGACCACCGCGCTGTGTTGCCGGTGCGCACCAACACATGGCGATCTCTTATGTCCGGGAGGAAGGGTTTCAATGCTAGAAACATGGCCAGCATCTCCAGGCGAGCTCATCGACACCCTCCACATCAACCTCCTCGGAGGAAGACCCCTCTCCCTGGGAGGAAGAACCGCAGCGCGGGCTTCCGATCCCAGAGAGTGGGCACTGGATCATATGCGAACCCCACGAGCACAGCCGCTGCTCTCGAGAGCTGACTCTGCGTGCTTCGCTCCCAAGCAGACAACACACAAACTGTGTGTCCCCACCCGAAATATAGCGCGGGCAGGGAGGAAAACACAGCCTGAACGCTGCCTGCTCTCGCCCAAATGTTTCTTCTTGACTGAAGCTTTGACATAATGGAGCTCATAAGTGGAGAAAGAACACTAAATAAGACTAACAACAAACAGCGACTGAAACACACACAGAGCACTTGCTGAATGACAGAAAGCTGATGCCGGTTCCACCGCATGTGCTTTTATAGCTTCCTGGTCTCTACGTCACCTGCCTGTGATGTCTCGCCCTTCCATTGGACTGATTGTACATGTGAGTCAGAACGTGGTCACGCTGAAGGCGTTCCCAAAGCGTTTTCCGATGCAGCTCGAGTTCCTGAAGGGGAACTACATTTATGGACCAGTTTATGTCTGAGTTTATTGCTTATTTTAAATGTGATCAGTTTGGCAAGCAGTTCTTGATATTTCAGCATATTTCTCCATTCTAGCAGACTGGAGAGAAATAGCTGCAACTGTCTTCACTTGTAACACATTTCAAACAAGAAATAAAAATTAAAAATAAAAATAGAGCGGGCCTTAACTTTATCCACTGGTTGTTGGATTGGATTGTAAAATTGGATTGCATACCGAAATTAAATTTATTTTGTCTGAAATATGCATTACACCATGTCCTAACCAGCCACAACAGCGACACGCGACATAGGGATTCTATTTCAGAAACGGTTTCTATTTTCTGTGACATTGCGGATGGAACAAAAACGTACAAACTATGACAATAGTGTTTTATTCAATGTTACAAGTGTCTATTGTGAGTTTGAATATCATTTTGCGTGATTTCTATAGCCATACTGAAAGCAACAACAGATAGTTTACCCGTCACGTCTTAGCTGTGTAGTAACACACACAAAGACGAAGATAATCCAAAAACAGTCTTTAATATTCTGAAGAGGGCAAATCCAACTGAGAACAGGGAATCCAAACACAGCAACACAAAGACCAGACCTGACAATGAAACACAAGGAGAACAGAACTTAAGTAGTGATGTTAACGAGATCAAATGAAAAACCATGATGACAAACAGGGAGCAGGAAACAGTGCAAGACACATATAAAGTTCATGGTGGTGTGACAGAACACCCCCTCCCGGATGGTGCATCCTTACGCCGTAATAGGAGGCAGAGGCAATGCCACAGGCAAGAAGCCAGGAGATGGTGAAGGGATGGCAAAGGGCAGGTACACCGGCAGAAGAAACTGGTGGAGGTTCAGGCGGAGGATGTCTAACTGGGAGAAGACAGAACTGAAGGGTCCAGGGCAGTGCAGACAGAGGTGAAAGCCAGGGAAGTGATGGTGGTGAAGTCCATGGAGGAGCCCTGAGCAGGAGAGGGTAGTTGGAGACACAGGCCACAGCCAGGACTGCGCTCCATGGCAGCATCACTGGAGGGAGGAGCCAAGGTGTGATGGGAACATGCAACGCCATGGGGACAACTGGAGGTGACAACAGCATTGGAAGTGCAGCCCACAGCGCAGACAGTGAGCCAAGGAGGTGGAGCGATGTGGAGGATGCAGGTGGCCGCGACGGAGCCATAGAGATGATCGCCTGAGATGTAGGTGGGGATCCAGAGGCCAGAGGGCAAGCTAGAGCGACCGAGGAAGGAGGTGGAGCCTGAGGGAGGGCCAAATGCAGTTTCTGCCTTTCACCCACCTAGAGACTGATTCCTAAGATTTGGCCTGTGACCACCATAAAAATTCCTCAGGATCTCCGGATGCAGCAGCAGTAGGTGAAATAAAGAGAGATCACATAGATCCATCCAAATCCATTCATAACTCTTTTCAAACCTTAAAACTGATACAATCTACAACACAATCATCTTATACTTATTCAGAGAAGTAAGTATTCTCAGTGACAGCGATGTGTAGTGTGACATCTTACACAAACTCAGCTGTTAATGGACAAGTGAATGCATGCATGACAGTTCAATCTTTTTACATTGTAATTGACCCAGTGAGATTGCTCAAAGGGGCCAAATCACAAAATAATTTAGGAGAGGGTCCCTCAACTGAAAACCACACAGAACACAGTAGGCCATTTCAAAGTGTTTATATAAATAAAGGCAATCCACAGATCCCTACAGCACATGCATGATAAACAGTCAATAAAGTATTTTTGAGTGCAAAACAACCCATTGAGTTTATCATTAATCAAAGTAAAGGACAAAAACAGAAAACGTATCTGGTTGAAGGAATACTCGTCTCTAAGCCGAAGCATGCACTGAATTTGAATACTGAAGTCTTTGATGATGATAGTCCGATAGCAAGAGTACCACAAAGATTCGTCGATCTGAGTTTCCTTAAAACATAGAGTGCTTTGCAATTCTTTAATGTCGATTTGTCCCGTTCTGATGAAGTTATTTCTTAGTCCATTGATGAGGAATTCATGGTAAAAAAGAAAAACGGAGAGACAGAAACAAAAATAGTTCTTCTACAAAACAAACAAACAACTAGCATTAGCATTTAACAGTCACAAAAGTTCACCATTAGTTAAACTATTTACAAAATAAGTGCAAATTTACACAGCGCAAAATAAACTGATACACTTACATGACTGAGCTGAAAACCTTAGTTTCTCAATCAGAACTCCATTTGCATTAAGGTAGGGTGACCATACGTGCCATTTTCCCAGGACGTGTCCTGGCCAGGATTTCTATATTGCCTAAAATTCCCTGCCCTAAATTGCCATATTTTGATGTCATACACACCGATCGGTCTGCACACGCAAACAAAGCCAAAACCTAGATATTTTAGGCAATATAGAAATCCTGGCCAGGATGCGTCCTGGGAAAATGGCACGTATGGTCACCCTAATTAAGGTTATGTAAGTGAATGCCATGCGTTCCCTTAACCAAACAGGTATGTCTTACTCTACTGCCTACATCCTTTTGATCCCTTAGCATAGAAAATTATATAGGGCCCCCTGGGGCACAGTAGAGGAACTACACAAAAAAACAACAACAACATAGTAACCGTACCATGGTCGGTTACAACACCATGTTTGGACTGAATGCATTCTTAATATTGCCAAAGGTATTCTGGTTATGGTTTGGAATAATGCATCAGTAAAACTTTAGTGACACTTTTCTAAATGTGTGTTTGGACTATGCAAATAAGTTCCACAGGAGGAAAGAAGAGTGGGCCACACAGTTTACCCCTGCTCTGATGGAAACGGCCAATCACACCATGTAAATGGAGACGAGCCAAATTACAATTTACTCCTGATCGGAAAGAGATAAATGTACCCTTTCAAAACTCCTTGTTCTGAGTCTCTGTGGTAGGAGATCAACAAAGTTCTGAGTCTCCTGTCCAGAGAGACAATAGCAGATATGCCGTTCTGAGTCTCCAGCCTGCAGCCTGTTAGGAAAGAGATACCGTGCATTCAGAATCTTCATCCAACAAGACAACAACTGATGCAGCACTCTCCATCCTAGAGAGACAAAGCGAACTGACCAAGCTCTGAGTCTCTAGCCCAGAGAGCAGAAGACATAGAAACATTTGCAACAAGGTTAAGGTCTGGCGAGCAAACCTTCACTCCAAGGTACTTTCGTCTGCATGCTCCAGGACAAGGACCTTCTGCATCTACTCCAGGGCCACATCTGCGTTCCAGATTTTAGGACCCTTTGGTGCTCCAGGAGATCAGCATCATACAGTGCTTCGTGTTCAAGGCTGTTTAAATGGATTCCTGCTCCTTTCCCCACTGCATTGTTACCAGCACAGCCAGTGGATGAAGTCCCCGCCACCAGACTGCTCACTTAACCACAGAGAACATAACTATCACTTATCCAAACCTCTTCCAGAGACCTTAGCATTATTGCATATTATCGGTATATGATTTTCTAATTTACATTAGATGATATAGCTGATCAGGACAAATAATCCTTCATTTCAGATTAAACAGTTTATCTTTTAATAAGATAACACAACTCTGCCATAGTATCACCCAATTAATCACTTACATTTTATGCATCTTATGCACTTTATTCCTTTTTATTGATGGTATTCATTTAGTAGTTGTTGATTACTCATGTCTGTCTTTTGTTAATAACATTTATTTTATCACAATTGTGTTTTTGTTGTGTTGATAATACAGTAAGAGTTTCTGCAAGTTAGATATCCCACCAATCTTTCTTATATGATGTACTCATCATCGCATCTTAAGTGACACGTGATCCAAAAATCACTACATCATCGGTGACGTCTAAAAGGCGCACGTTGTCACAAAATGGCACAACATGTCATAGAAAATAACAGATGCCCATAATAACCCTGTATAACTGGTCACCCACCACTCATAAGGGAAACTTGTTCTGCATAGCTGTACTTGTGCTACGGTGGCCGACACAGGACAAAGATGTAATGCTGTTTAATATTTGTTGTGGTGTCGTTCTGATGAACTGAATGACTGAAAAGTGTAAAATTGAACAGCTAGAGCCTGCCTTTAATGCAAAACATGAATCTTACACTGATTCATATTAAAAACATAAAAAATATAAATTAAGTACTTTAAACTTGATATAAAGCATAAAGGAAAACACACTTGTGATTACATGCTTTTAATCAATTCAAAAACTTTTATTTTTTTTAACAAATTACTTCAGCCATATCATGACACTTCTGTCAATCAAACAGGTCTTCACCAACAAAGAGATTTGTAAAAGCTGTAAAATGTTTGCTGTGTGTCCAAAACACTACATGCTCTTCTTCTTTTTAGTCTGAATAAGAAATAAAGCAGGCAAAAACATTAATAATGAAATATTTCAATAAAAGCATCAAGAACATTAGTCATGAGGAAAGGCTAATAGGTTGTGATTTGTCTCTATCTAGTATGTGTTCTTACTTACTGGAATATTTTCATACACAGAAGAGTTTGGTTCAGGTTTACAGATATTAGAGTCATGTTGAGCAGCCTTTATGAATGAAGAGACAAAGTATATTCAGCAATGTGTCATTTAAATTTCCATGTACTTATTATTCATAAGACATTTGACATTGTCGAGTGTTCAATTTCTTTTTGGCTAGAGGTAAGGTGAGTTTAGTCTTTAGGAAATTCTCAGCTAAAATACTTACGGCCACATTATCATACACAGGATCAGTCATCTCAACATTGCAAGCTTTGTGTAGGCCATCATGAGGTCTGGACTGATTAATCTTTGACATAAAAAAGATAGATAGATAGATAGATAGATAGATAGATAGATAGATAGATAGATAGATAGATAGATAGATAGATAGGGTCACAGCTCTATTCAGACTTTCAATCCTTGACAAGTTCATTTACCTGAACAGTAAACTACTGATAACAAAATATTTTTTTTCTCACCTGAGACTTCTGTGCACCATTTCTGTTTTTAATCCATCTGCTTACCCTTTAAAGACAATGACTTACACAATTACTGTCAATCAGAACTTATCAGATGTTATGATTTTGAAACAATGTCATTTCTCAATAGACTGTTTTGAATGTGATGAAATGTGGTACATCTACGGTTCGCTTTTGGCATGGTTCACTCACATTACATTTACCACGCTGTGGGCAAACTCATGCTAATATAATATATATGATGTCTCCTTGCTGACTCAGAAGAAGAAGAAGAAGCCCTCCTGCTTGCTGTAGAAAGGCCCCAGCCGTGGATTACAGCGCTAACAGCAGCACTACTCCTCTGCACTTATCCAGCAGGACTATTAAAGCACATTTTTGCTAAGAGAGCATATTTCTAGTGGCGTTTGACATTGTTTGCTATTCTGAAAACTTTGCTTTAATTTTGTGCAATATAATTTTACTTGCATTTTAAAATTTTGGTTTCAAGCTTTTTTTTTTTATCCGTGACTGCAATACATTTGGCGGGAATATGATCCCATACATTCAATTTCTTTTTTGCCAAAGGTGAGGAGAGTTTAGTCTTTAGGAAATTCTCAGCTAAAATACTTACAGTCACATTCTCATACACAGGATCAGTCATCTCAACATTGCAAGCTTTGTGTAGGCCATCATGAGGTCTGGCTTGATTAATCTTTGCCATAAAAAAAAAAAAGATGTGAGTTTAGATAGATAGATAGATAGATAGATAGATAGATAGATAGATAGATAGATAGAGTCACAACTACATTCAGTCTTTCAATCCTTGAGTGACAAGTTCATTTACCTGAACAGTAAACTACTGATAACAAAATATTTTTTTTCTCACCTGAGACTTCTGTGCACCATTTCTGTTTTTAATCCATCTGCTTGCCCTTTAAAGACAATGACTTACACAATTACTGTCAATCAGAACTTATCAGATGTTATGATTTTGAAACAATGTCATTTCTCAATAGACTGTTTTGAATGTGATGAAATGTGGTACATCTACGGTTCGCTTTTGGCATGGTTCACTCACATTACATTTACCACGCTGTGGGCAAACTCATGCTAATATAATATATATGATGTCTCCTTGCTGACTCAGAAGAAGAAGAAGAAGCCCTCCTGCTTGCTGTAGAAAGGCCCCAGCCGTGGATTACAGCACTAACAGCAGCACTACTCCTCTGCACTTATCCAGCAGGACTATTAAAGCACATTTTTGCTAAGAGAGCATATTTCTAGTGGCGTTTGATGCAAAATGCCGCACCATGAGTGTTGCTCATGCAGGGCATTCCTGCACTCCTTGGACGAGCACTCTGCCTTAGTGCTCGGGCAAGCCCACACAGAGACTGTGCTTACTGAGATGAGCTGCTCTCACCTGTCTCACCTCACTGCACTCATGGATGGCTTTCTTTAATGATAGCAACCCCATCCTTTGTGCTCCCCCGTTTCTTCCTCTCAGGAACCTCAGAGTTAAAAACAGTGGAGTTATGGGGCAGCGCAGATGGGTCCGAAAGAGGTCATGCCCTGGAATGGTAAGCCAAGGCTGTCCACCCTTTTTAGCCCTGCAGAGCCACTTCAGTCCTAGCAGCCTAGCCTACTCCACAGCTGGTCAAGCTGGTTCCGCTCCCTGTCGGTGGTCAGGACTATTTTTTTCTGAGAACTCCAGGCTCATGGCCTGGGCCTCGCTGATCCCGGGTTAATTGTGCCTTGCCGACGCTATTGGATTTTGTTCCCCATAACGTGGTACACACAATGTGAGTAAACCGTATCGGAAGGGAATGTTCTAGTTACGTATGTAACCTCGGGTTCCCTGAGATAACAGGAATGAGACACACACACATACACACACACACACACACACACGCACGCACACACACACACACATATATCATACATTATTACGACAAAACAGGAATGAGACACACACACATACACACACACACACACACACACACACGCACACACACACACACACACATATATCATACATTATTACGACAACTGCTGCTCCACAAACCACTCCAATGGATATGTACAATATCACCAGACGTCCTACAACAGAGACAAGAGAGTAAAACATCTGAACAGATTAATTTGCTTCACTTTAGAAGGAATCATGAAAGTAAATGAGCTGCTCTACCTTTAACAATGACAGTAACAGGGTCTGATCTCTGAGATCCATGTTGATTGTGAGCCTCACAGTAGAAGCGTCCACTCTGTAGTGCACTGAAACTCTGTCCAGATCCAACAGCTGAGCTTTGATTCTCCTTAAACCAGCTGAAGTTCAGAACAGGAGGGTTTGAATCACTGCTGCAGCTCAGAGTCACCGAATAACCTTCCCAGATCTGACCAGACTGTATGATGGACACGGAGACATTTCTGGGAGAGTCTAATAAGAATCACCAAATTAATTAAGATGCTGACACAATCTTAAAATTGCTAATATGAACTGAAGTGAAAAAAAACAGAGAATTAGCTTTTTTTTATGATAAACTTACACATGAGATATTTTTTGGTGCATCTATAAAGGATACATATTAAATCCTTATATCATCCCATTCAAACACAATTTCCAGGTTTTTAAAAATAACAAATGAATCAGTACTCACAAGTGACACTGAGACGAGCAGCAGGAGAGATGTAACTGTGTCCATGTAGAGCACAGCTGTATCTGCCTGCATCCTCTCTTCTGACTGACTGCAGCAGGAGTTGATTGTTTCCGTCTCTTCTCTCAGTTAATGGCTGTGAGTTTCTGTACCAGATGAATGTTGCTCTGTCAGTCAGAGTGCAGCTGCTGTTACATGTCAGACTGACATTATGACCCTCTGTCACTCTCTCAGGAGCCTCCACCTGAAGATCTGAACACAACACACACATTATATCTAGTGCTGCTGTCATACACTGATTATTATTCAACATAATGCACAGAAGAAGAGCTCAGCCTCATGAAAGTCACCTGTGACAGTAAGAGTCAATCCTGGTTTACCAATCCATTGATTTATATTGGTTCTGAATCTGAAATAGTACTTGTGTGAATCTTTCTGTGTCACATGACTCAGTCTGATGGTGCAGTTCTGCTGTTTGTCTCCCAGATACCGAAGCCTCTGACTGTATTCAGGATCCTCAGACAGATCTGGAAACTCTTCATATTTATCTTCTTTGTCTTTTGTATTGGTCCAGAACACTTTCAGGATCTGATGTCCAGTAGGGTATGTATAAGTGCAGCTCATTATCACTGATGAGTTCTTTAGTGCACAGATGTGTGAATGACTGTAACTCACACCCCAATCAGCACCAGAAACCCCTGAAACACAATTCATACTGAACAATAGGTTTTTTTTTATTATAATTTTTTTTATTTTTGCAAGCAAGGTGACAGCAAGCATAGACAAAGTGACTCCACGCTCTCACTCTAATTGCTCTTTATGTGTGTTCTTGTTTATATTTGCCAAATTTAAAGGGGTCATATGATGCTGCTAAAAAGAGCATTATTTTGTGTATTTGGTGTAATGAAATGTGTTTATGCGGTTTAAGGTTAAAAAACACATTATTTTCCACATACTGTACATTATTGTTTCTCCTCTATGCCCCGCCTTTCTGAATCGCGTCGATTTTTACAAAGCTCATTGGTCTGAAAAGCGAGGTGTGCTCTGACTTGCCAGCTATGCATTGTGTTATGATTGGCCGAATACCTCAAGCGTGTGACGGAAATGTTACGCCCCTATCATACTGTGATGATGCCCTGTCAGGCCAGAGCGATGATTCAAAAACATGAAAACCCATTATAAACAAGGCATTCGTTGCATCCAGTGGGGACATAATTATGTATTATAATGACTTATACTGTCTTTTTACGTGTTGCGTTGCATCGCACCGCATAACAATAAAACCATGTCTGCATTTGTGAGCGGAGAAACGACAAACAACAAGCCCTACTCTACACTGCCCAAAAAAACTCGCTTTAAATATAAAAAAACTTACTTTCAGTCTCTGAGTCAGAACAGCCGGCATTGTAGTCTACTCTACTAGGATCAGGAAACGGTCCTCCCTTAAATTTGCTGCACACATCTGAATATTTGGGTTGAAGTGTTCTGGAACAGTGTTGTAAATACAACGTAACCACTGATTTCTAGTCGTGTCCATTTTTGGAAGGCCAAACAAAGTAGTTTCGCTTTCACAATGAAACACAGCGTCACACACGGTGGCCTAGAGTGAGCGGCGGCGGCCTACAGTGAGCGGCGGCGGCCTACAGTGAGCAGAGGTCAGGGTTAGAGTGAGGAACAGCTGGAGGGCTAGAGTGAGTAGAGGCGGCGGGCTTGAGAACAGTGCGGCCGGCGGATTCGACGAAGGCGCGTCCGGCGGGCTTGCGGCAACCACATGTGACGACCCCAGGCTGGACTCCACTTCGTCCACGGTAAAAGCCGATCCGGTGATCCACAGCGCGAAGTTGTTGTCTTTCCTCAGCGACCAGCACGGATCAGCTCCAGGCATGACGAAGCAGATATTGTCCTCTTTTGGAAGGCCAAACAAAGTAGTTTCGCTTTCACAACGAAACACATAGCGTCTTCACGACATGGCGGCGGCAACAACAATACTACAGCGAGAATCAAAGTTACGCCTTCTTTCTTTGAGTGAACATTTGGGCGGCGTTATGCAAATCTTCCCACATAGTGACGTAGATATGTGGGGGCGTCTTAGAACGAGCCGTTTTAGGTAGGCGTGGCTGACTCTTAACTTTTACAATGAATATCTCTTTGGATTTGTGACTTTAGTCTTTGCAACTTTACAGATCTTCTTTATGCACCAAGAGCTTGTAACACTCCAAAGAGAAAGAAAAAATTGAAATCGCATCGTATGACCCCTTTAAGATTAGTCGTGCAAATTCCACATACAGTAACCAAGATCTTCCGATCATATAACTACACAAAATCCATTGCTACCCACCATTTTTCTCACCAATGCCAGATTATTGAGTAACAAAATGGATGAACTGAATCTACGAATCTATATAAAAAAAGTAGATTTATGAAAAACATAGGTAGATACCTGACAGTCAAATGTATCTACCATGTGAATTTAATGTGTTTATAGTCACAGTCAGACATTCCACAAGATGCCAACTTCAACATAGCTTTAGGCCGCCTGCTCAGTGAAATAGCCGATTAATTTAACCAAGCAGATTTAAAGGCTGTTCTCCAGAAATTTGATCATCATATCAAATGTGCTACCAGGGGGACAAACACACTAGACAGTTTGGGCCTACCACTTTTAGACCACTCAGATCACTTAATCATACTCCTATTCATAGCATACAGGAGGAGGAAAGCTCAACCCACAACAAAGACTGGTAAAACCTGGCCTGAAGGAGCTTTTTTGCAGCTGCCTTGACAGACAAACTGGAATATTTTTGACGTTCATGACTTGGGGGAATGTACATTCACTGTACTTTGTGTCGACAAAAACATCAGAGTATACTCCAACCAGAAGCCCTGAATAACAAAAGGCTTCAAAACATAGCCTTCAAGTCTGGAAACAGAGCTTTATACAGCATTGCTAGAGCAAACCTGAAGAGAGGCAGCAGTGAGGCAAAAGTGGCCTACAAGTTCTTTGAGGGCCACCACCAACAACGACTCACAGCAGGTGTGGCAGGGCATCCAGCATGTCACCAGCTATAAGACCAGCAACTGAATGACTGTTAACTGTGACGCCTCCCTGGCAGAGCCTCCAGTAGTCACACCCTCATGTTGGAGGAGCATGTTGTGAGGCATGTGCTCAAAGCCAAACCAGCTTTCTGAGGTTTTTCACTGGGATCTTTAACCAGTCTCTCTCTAAAACGTCTAAAATCATTCCAACTTGCCTGAAGTCTGCCACAATCATTCCACTGCCAAAAAAGACCTCCACCCGCAGCCTCAAAGATTATCATCCATTGCACCGGTCATAATACTGCGCTTTTAGAGCCTGGTTCTATAGCATATCAAAGCCAGTCTCCAACTCACCTTTTATCCACATCTGTTCACTTACAGAGTTACAGACAATGCCATCATCACTGCCCTGCATATGGCAGGGCTGACACACCCTCAACATCAATGGAGCTATTTGAGGATACTGTTTATATACTTTAGAACAGTTTTCCCAGGTAGATTGGTCACCAAACTTGATTACTTAAGAATTTCACAGTCCTTCTTCCACTGAATAAAGGACCATCTATTTTCATACCTCGCACTCAGCACTGGAGTGCCACAGGGCTTTGTGTTGAGACCGCTTCTGTATTCTGTCTACACTCATGACTGTGCCCCCACCCATCCCACCAATACCATTGTTAAGTAGTCATGAAGGTCAAGAAGTAGTCAAGAAGGCACAGTAGAGATTCCACTTCCTGAGGATCCTCAGGTAAAACCACCTGCAAGAAACGCTACTGTCCTGAGGGTCATCAGCCAACATTTCGAAACACTGTCTCTTTGACTTGCTGCCCTCTGGTAAATGCTTCAGGTCCATTGTGTCATAGACAAATGTATCACAGACATTGTATCACAGGCTCAAAAGCAGTTTCTCCCCAAAACAAGAACCAAACACCGTCAAATACTGACTTCCCCATCGGTTGAAATCACCGGCACCCTCAATAGCTGGGGGCCCTGGTTATAGGTATACATATTGTTTTTGTTGTGTTATTTTTGCTGTATAATGTTGTTGAACTCTGTGCAATGACAATAGTGTAACTAAACTGAATAGATGTTTGAAAAAAGCATAATATCGAATCTTGATAAAGTGTTGCTGAAACATCAGTGACTCACCGTGAATCATGATCAGAAAGATCAGAGGAAGAGGAGGGGCCATTCTGACTGACATCACTACAGCAACTCCTACAACAAATGTACAGTGGCTTATTTCAGCATTTGTGATTCTGACATTCTTTAAAACTTATTTGTATGTCTTTTTGAAATGCTTTACAAGGCAAAAATGTAGATATTACAGTAGTTCATTGCCTGTAGATCCTTTGAAGCTTATCATATGGTGTGTGACTCATGGCGAATTAAGTTTTACTCAAAATATACAATCTATTATCTATTTGTCTATTTTGTATTGTTTTTACAATTTTTTTTTACTCACTTATTTTTTATTTTGTTATATGTCTTGTTATCCAGTTTGTGCACTGGAAACTTTTGTCACCAAGACAAATTCCTTGTGTGTGTGTAAGCACACTTGGCAATAAAGCTCTTTCTGATTAGATGATATTAGCTTGATTATGATTGCACGTGCAAATGTACTAGTTTGTGGTTAACTTAATGTAGTATCAATTATCTTCCTATTTCTTGCCAGGCCAAATGAAACACCATCTGTTCTGAGATTGAGCAAAGAACAAACCAAAAAGAGAACTACGTTCTAGTTCTTATAAAAGCCTATTAAACTATATAATGAATCTGTCTTCATTATATAGTTATCTGTTGTTAAAGATAATTATTTGTACCAGAGGTATTTGTAATTAACATACAAAACTGCTGCTAAAGAAAACACTTTTTTTTAAACCTTATCGTTACTGAGAAACAGCCCAATGACAACTAACCCCAACCAATCCTCAATACATAAGATATTTGACAGAATGGTAATAAAATCATGCACTTACCCACTTCACCAAGACTCATGACCAGTGACAGCACTACAATAGATCATGATACCAGCACTGCTGTTTTCACACTCTAAATATCACGTGATTAACACATTATATTTTAATATGTTTTTAACACCTCAACTAGTGCTAGATAGAGCAGAAGAAGCGTTTTAGCAGAGGACATTAGGCTAAAGGCCAATGAAAGTTGAACTGAGAGAAACATGAATTTAGCCCATAAAATGATCCTGTTAAATTTTCAAACTTGGGAATATCTACACATAATCAATTGCATACAGATGGCGATGACAAGGAACCTGTGCCTGAGAGACAAATACATATGATTGATTGAATAACTCAAATTTGAATATACAGTCCAGTTATACTGGTTTGAGAACTGCTGGACCTGGGATTGTGAAATTCTGGAAGACATTGCATTGGCCGTGACTGCAATACGCTGTGCATTTGATGAACCTTAATTCATTACCAAATTTATATTAATCAATCAATGGAACAAACATAAAATATGTTGATGAAGCAGAACTGATTTTATCTAAATGTCTTAAAAGCTATAATGAACTTATAAGGTTTTTCTGTCAGCAGCCTTGTTCTTGAATACATGCTGAGTATTTAAATATGGCCACGAATACAGTTTCCGTTGTAATGAGAGAGGCGAGGAAAAAAAAATGTGTGAATGTCGACCATGTGCTCAGCGCCACGTGACAAGTGACATAGGGATTCTATTTTAGAAATGGTTTCTGTTTTCTGTGACATTGTAGCTGGAACAAAAACATGCAAAATATGAAAATTAAAATCTCAGGTACTGATTATGTGCTTTATTCAATGTTACAAGTCTATATTGTGAGTTTGAATATCATTTCGCGTGACCTCTATAGCCATACTGAAAGCAACAACAGATAGTTTACCTTTCACGATGCCACATGCAAGAAGTCAGGAGATGGTGAAGGGATGGCAAAGGGCAGGTACACCGGCAGAAGAAACTGGTGAAGGTTCAGGTGGAGCACGTCTAACCGGGAGAAGACAGAACTGAAGGGTCCAGGGCAGTGCAGACAGAGGTGAAAGCCAGGGAAGTGATGGTGGTGAAGTCCATGGAGGAACTACACTATTTCACACTATTTCACCGAAAGCAAAATCACTACAAGTTATATCATCATCAAGTTTCTAAAAGACACACATTGTCACAAAATGGCACAACATGTCATAGAAAATGACAGATGCCCATAATAACCCTGTATAACTGGTCACCCACCACTCATAAGGGAAACTTGTTCTGCATAGCTGTACTTGTGCTACGGTGGCCGACACAGGACAAAGATGTAATGCTGTTTAATATTTGTTGTGGTGTCGTTCTGATGAACTGAATGACTGAAAAGTGTAAAATTGAACAGCTAGAGCCTGCCTTTAATGCAAAACATGAATCTTACACTGATTCATATTAAAAACATAAAAAATATAAATTAAGTACTTTAAACTTGATATAAAGCATAAAGGAAAACACACTTGTGATTACATGCTTTTAATCAATTCAAAAACTTTTATTTTTTTTTTAACAAATTACTTCAGCCATATCATGACATTTCTGTCAATCAAACAGGTCTTCACCAACAAAGAGATTTGTAAAAGCTGTAAAATGTTTGCTGTTTGTCCAAAACACTACATGCTCTTCTTCTTTTTAGTCTGAATAAGAAATAAAGCAGGCAAAAACATTAATAATGAAATATTTCAATAAAAGCATCAAGAACATTAGTCATGAGGAAAGGCTAATAGGTTGTGATTTGTCTCTATCTAGTATGTGTTCTTACTTACTGGAATATTTTCATACACAGAAGAGTTTGGTTCAGGTTTACAGATATTAGAGTCATGTCGAGCAGCCTTTATGAATGAAGAGACAAAGTATATTCAGCACGGTGTCTTATTTTAGTCACAAGACATTTGATATGTTTACACTGATATTGAAGAGCATTCATATGGGATCATATTCCCGTCAAATGTATTGCAGTCACTGATAAAAAAAATAACAAGCATGAAACCAACATTTAAAAACGCACGTCAAATTATATTGCACAAAATGTAAAAATTAAAGCAAAGTTTTCAAAATAGCAAACAATAGTCACAGATCAAAACATAATAAGTGTAAATCAAAAATTGAATAATGCATTTAAAAAAATTGTCGAGGAACTAGGGTTACATACGTAACCTGAGGCGTTCCTCTTCAGGAACTCGAGCTGCGTCGAGAAACGCTAGGGGAACGAGAATGCCCATGCCGCCAGACTTCTAAGTCTCTGCCGAGTGTGGAAGACTGCACAGCTACGGCGAGAGGACGGAAGAGCCAGGAGTGGCTCCCCAGTCTAGACCCTAAAACCTAACAAAGGTAAGGGGCGTGGACCAACCCGCCGCGTTGCAGATGTCCTGCATTGGAACACCCGCTAAAAAAGCCTTAGAGGCTGCCACACTACGAGTTGAGTGAGCCTTGACCCCTAACAGCGAAGGGAGATCAGAGGACTCATAAGAGAAGGAGATGGCATCCACTATCCACTGACTGAGGGTCTGTTTAGTTGCCGGCAGACCTCTCTTAGGGGGACCGTAACAAACAAGCAACTGGTCCGCCCTCCTCCACAGGGCAGTTCTGTGGACGTATGCATCTAGTGCATGCACCGGACGCATGCAGTTTAGCCTCTGCTGGTCTGGATCCTCAAAGGTATGAGGACTGAAGGCCTGGAGTACGACAGGCCGCGGTGCAGAGGAGTGGACCTTAGGGACATATCCCACTCGTGGGAACAGAAACGCCTTGGCCAGCCCAGGCGCAAAGTCTAGGTAAGACGGGGCCACAGAAAGGACCTGCAGATCCCCAACTCTCTTGAGGGAAGATATCGCCAGAAGAAAGGTAGTTTTTATAGTCAGGAGGCGATCAGATATCTCCTGAATAGGCTCGAAGGGAGGCCTACAGAGAGCCTGTAGCACCACAGCCAGGTCCCACGTGGGGACACAAGATCGTACCGGAGGCCTCAGCCTCAGTGCACCACGGAGGAAACGTGTAACTAGGGGTTGTCTACCCACTGACTGGCCACCAAGAGGGGCGTGGTAGTCCACAATAGCCCCCACGTAGACCTTCAGGGTGGAGTGGGTCAACCCTCCGGAGAAACAGGCCTCCAGCACTGTACCAAGCGAGCAGTTAACTGGGTCTAGCTGGCGATCTCCGCACCAAGAAGTGAAAAGTTTCCACTTCAAGGCGTACAGTTTCCTCGTGGAGAGAGCTCTGGATTGGAGAATGGTCTCAACAACCTCAGTTGAGAGACCGGAAGCTATGAGTTGTGCCCCCTCAGGGGCCACACCCACAATTTCCACAGCTCCGGGCGGGGGTGGATGATCATACCCTCCGCCTGTGAGAGGAGATCTCTCCTGATGGTAATCTCCCACAGAGCGCCGTCGAGGAGAGAAATCAGGTCCGAGAACCATACTTGGCCCGGCCAGAACGGGGCTACTAGCAGAAGACGGACCCCGTCCCGGCGCACTCTCTCCAGAACTCCCGGGAGCAGAGCGATCGGGGGAAAGGCGTACAGACAAAGCCTCGGCCACATCTGTACCATGGCATCCAGCCCCAGTGGAGCTGGATGACTTAGAGAGAACCAGAGGTGACAGTGCGATGTCATGCGAGTCGCAAACAAATCCACCTGGGCCTGGCCAAAGACTCTCCATATCTGCTTCACCACCATGGGGTGAAGCATCCATTTCCCGGGCCTCGGCCTCTGCCTCGACAGGATGTCTGCTCCCAAATTGAGATGCCCAGGTATGTAAACTGCTCTCAGCGAGAGAAGTTTGCCCTGGGACCACACAAGGATCTGGTACGCTAGTTTGTACAAACGGTGTGAACGCAGACCTCCCTGGTGGTTGATGTAAGAGATCACCGCTGTGTTGTCGGTACGCACCAACACATGGTGACCTCTCAGGTCTGGGAGGAAGTATCTCAGTGCATGCAGCACGGCCAGCATCTCCAGGCAGTCGATGTGCCACGTGAGATGGCGACCACTCCATAGACCACGGGCAGGGTGGTCACTCATGACCGCTCTCCAACCGGTGAGGGATGCGTCCGTCGCTAGCGTTACGCGGCGACAAGGAGCTCCCAGCACCAGGCCCTGAGCCAAGAACCAAGGTTTCCTCCACATGTCCAAGGCACGTAGGCATCGCCGTGTGACCTTGAACATGCGAAGCGGGTTTCCCCTCAGGGAGAACCCCTTGGTCTTGAGCCACCACTGTAGGGGCCTCATGTACAGCAGGCCAATAGGTATCACGTTGGACGCAGCTGCCATCAGACCCAGCAGTCTCTGAAACTGCTTGACAGTGAGTGACCGGCCTTCTCTGACTCTCGCGACTGCGGTGAGGAACGACTCGACACGAGCAGGGGACATATGTACCTGCATCGTGGTCGAATCCCACACCACGCCCTGAAAGACAGACACATATAACGGTGTCCTGTACGGAAAGATGTTTCCCAGCCGACAGTTGTCCATGTTCACCTGTACAAGTGAACAGAACACGGAGCATCGGCAGTAATGAGGCGCTTAGGAGTGACGTCACCGCCCCTCTTCATCTGATTGGCTGAGCAGGAGCTGTCAATCTATAACTAGTGGACCAATGATGATGTTTTAGCCCACCCTGATTTACATGAAACTCTAACCGCAACATTTGGAAGAAGAAGCGCAGAACGTGGAATAAAGAGCAAAGGGAAAAACAGCATAAGCATACAACAAATAAAAATATGTGCAGAAAATATCTGAGAGCACAAAAAACTGAGAAATATAACCAAGGTAAACATGATTTTGTGTGCAATTCGGATAATTTTGCATTAATATTTCAGTTTTGTGCAATATGATTTTAAATGTGTTTAAAGTTTTGATTCGTGCTTATTATTTTTTTAAATGCATTATTACATTTTTTATTTAAAATTATAATTTTTTGATCTGTGACCATTGTTTGCTATTCTGAAAACTTTGCTTTAATTTTGTGCAATATAATTTTACTTGCATTTTAAAATTTTGGTTTCAAGCTTGTTCTTTTTTTTTTTATCCGTGACTGCAATACATTTGGCGGGAATATGATCCCATACATTCAATTTCTTTTTTGCCAAAGGTGAGGAGAGTTTAGTCTTTAGGAAATTCTCAGCTAAAATACTTACAGTCACATTCTCATACACAGGATCAGTCATCTCAACATTGCAAGCTTTGTGTAGGCCATCATGAGGTCTGGCTTGATTAATCTTTGCCATAAAAAAAAAAAAGATGTGAGTTTAGATAGATATATAGATAGATAGATAGATAGATAGATAGATAGATAGATAGATAGAGTCACAACTACATATTACTAACTAATAATAACTAATATTTTTTTTCTCACCTGAGACTTCTGTGCACCATTTCTGTTTTTAATCCATCTGCTTGCCCTTTAAAGACAATGACTTACACAATTACTGTCAATCAGAACTCATCAGATGTTATGATTTTGAAACAATGTCATTTCTCAATAGACTGTTTTGAATGTGATGAAATGTGGTACATCTACGGTTCGCTTTTGGCATCTCACATTACATTTACCACACTATGGGGAAACTGTTTACTTTGAATGCTGAAACCTGATTTGTTAACATTCGTGTAGCTGCACAAACAAATGGGCAGCACAAAATGGGCGGGGCTGACTGCCAATATAATATATATGATGTCTCCTTGCTGACTCAGAAGAAGAAGAAGCCCTCCTGCTTGCTGTAGAAAGGCCCCAGCCGTGGATTACAGCACTAACAGCAGCACTACTCCTCTGCACTTATCCAGCAGGACTATTAAAGCACATTTTTGCTAAGAGAGCATATTTCTAGTGGCGTTTGATGCAAAATGCCGCACCATGAGTGTTGCTCATGCAGGGCATTCCTGCACTCCTTGGATGAGCACTCTGCCTTAGTGCTCGGGCAAGCCCACACAGAGACTGCGCTTACTGAGATGAGCTGCTCTCACCTGTCTCACCTCACTGCACTCGTGGATGGCTTTCTTTAATGATAGCAACCCCATCCTTTGTGCTCCCCCGTTTCTTCCTCTCAGGAACCTC